CCTCAAATTGTCATGTGCCAGGTAGGTGCTTTGGCTGAGCTCTCACCAGCACTTAAGGCACATGGGTTAATTAATCAGCGTTAATTACCCTGCAAGGGCTGCAGGAACAGCTGTGAGGCTCAGCCTGCGATGATTCACTTCTTTAGGTATTTAGTTATTTATTGGGTTTTTTTTCCAAAAGAACAAATGTGGCCATATTTCCTCATTTTTGTTCCACGGACGCCCCTAATCCCCAGCACTTTTCCTGCAGTGTCGTCGCCAAGAAATTGCTCTAGGCCAGAATTCCTCTCTTGGCTCCAGCTCATTAGTCAGCGGGAAAGGCTGAATTCCACTGAGCAAACCCAGGGACCTTCACCTTTCCCATCTTTCCAGCATTCCCCGTGGCTGGATGGAGGAGATCCAAACAGGTCTCAGGGAACAGGGGTCACAGCTGCTGTTGTGTCACTGCTGATCCTGGGGGAGTTGACATTCCTTCTACAGCTGATTTTAAAATTCCAACTGTTCTCACTAGCCAGGAATTTTTCCCTCTCCAAGGACAGAAAGCAGCTGTTTACAACCTAAAAGTTATCAGTCCCAGTTTCAGTCCTGCCAGGATCTGAATGACACACATCCATCACACAGATCCATCTCCCATCCTCCTGCACGGCCAGGGAGGCTGGAACTTCGAAATTTTTCCAATTACTCTGATTTAGCGTGAATTTTGGGGTGTTTTCCCTGCTCCCTCCACTCCTCCAAGAAAAGGCTCTGGGCAGCACAATTCCAGCAGCTCCACCTGGAGAAGTTTCGACTAGTTTGGGGAAGATTATCCCGATTTTGAGACTGCAGAGAAAAGTGGATTTGCAGGTGTGGGAGCAATTTACCAAAGCTACTTCTGGCAGAATTGGGAGCTGAAACACTAAAAACCCCCAAATTCTCCTGCCCTGGAGCCGCCCCAGGCTGTGCCTGGTGGATCCCTGGATCCCTCCTGTGCCAGTCCCACCCATGTTTGTGTCCCTGGGATCCCTGGCAAACCCGCAGGATCCCAAAATTTGGATTTTTAAATTTATTTCTGATTTTTTGTTTGGCTCTGGTACAGGGAATGCAGGGCCCCAGTTCCTGATATTTGTGGGAAACACGGTGGGTTTGGGGCCTTTCATCAACCCCAGTTGGTTGGAGAGAAAAACAAAAAGTGACTCCGTTTTTTGTGCCTTGAGATGGATTTCTTTGTTAGGGGTGATGGGACCCGGTGGGGCTGGGGGGGCTGGGAGTGGACAGGGGATGGGATGGGAGCAGATGGAGGTGGATGGGATGGAGATTGGGTGGATGGAGGTGAGTGGGATGGGGATGGAGGCAGATGGAGGTGGGTGGGATGGGGATGGGGCAGATGGGACAGGGATGGAGGTGGATGTGCGAGAAAAATCTCATTTATTAATTTTAGGAAAAAAAAGGTAGAAAGAATATCTGTGAAACAAGGAAATAAAACGAGCAAGGAAAGTTCTAACACAGCGCACGCCGGGTGCCCAGGTCCCGAGGGTCCCGAGAACACCTCTTTATTAAAAAATTGCACCTTTAAAAGTTCCCAAGGTCTCGCCTCGTATATACCAAGCAGAAGAGGCATTCCCCTCTCCTTGGTTCGCTGTGCCGTGCTGGGAGGTGGGGCCTGCAGCAGCACGGCGGCCCCCCGGTCTAACCCGTGTGGCACGAGGGGTTTCCTTATCAATATTCATGTTACAGTTTCCCTACTCCCGTCCACATGGTTCCCTGATACCAGCTCCAGGCAGGGGCAGGTATCTTACAGCTTCCCGAGACGCCTTATAGGTCAGTAAAGAAAAACTCTTAAGTTAGTGACCTGTTTAATCCATTTGCTTGTAATAAAACCGGTTTTCTTATTTCTCACAGATGGGATGGGGATGGGGCGGATGGGACGGGGACGAAGGCGGATGGAGGGGAGTGGGATGCGGACTAGACGGATGGGATGGGGATGGAGGTGGATGGAGGTGGATGAGATGCGGACTGGAGAGACGGGAGGGGGATGAAGGTGGATGGAGATGGGTGGGACGGGGATGGAGGCGAATTGGGGAGGATGGGATGGGGATGAAGGCGGATGGAAGTGGATGGGACGGGGATTGGGCAGATGGGATGTGGATGAAGGCGGATGGAGGTGGATGGGATGCAGACTGGACGGATGGGATGGAGGTGGAGGCGGGAAAATGAAAGCGGGTGGATGGGGATACATGCGGATGGAGGCGGAAGGGACGGGGATGGGGCGGATGGAGGCGGATGGGATGCGGATGGAGGTGGACGAGACGGGGATGGATGCAGGTGGAGGTGGAAGAAGGTGGATGGGGGCGGGTGGGACGGGGATGGAGGCGGATGGATGGCATTTGGGACGGACGGAGATTAAGGCGGCCGAAGGAAGATGGAGACGAACGCGTGGAGATGGAGGCGGATGGGAGAGGATGGGATGGGGATTGGGCGGACTGGAGAGGGGTGGAGGCTGACGGATGAGGATGGGACGGGAATTGGGCGGATCGGAGAGGGGGGATGGACGAGCACGGAGCCGTTCGGGGGTGGATCCTGTACCGGCAGCTCCTCCCCTCCTTTCCAGCGGAACCGAGGGTAGGAGCGGACGTGTGATGCGGGACTAGGGGGGGTGTACAGATTTGGGGGTCTCGGAGGGGGGGGGCCTGGGGGAGCGGCTGGATCCCTGCAGAGGGAGGATGCTGCGGGCACGGAGCCCCCCGGGCACGAAGGCCCCGGCCCTGGAGCTCCCCCCGGGCCGGGGCTGTGGGAAGGAGTCCCCCCGGGGCCCCGCCTGGGCCGTGGATGAGTGCTGGCATGTATTATCTGAGCCGAGCTGATGTCTCTCACCGCTTTAGCTCTAGAATTACTCTGAGGCCCAGGAATGCCCCCGGGGTCCCTCTGTGGGGCGGAGAGGTCGGCGTGGAGCTTTTCCAGTCTCTGGGCAATCGAGTTCCCGTCGATCCCAATCCCTGAGGCGGCGGGAGGAGGAGCAGGAGCGGGGGGCGGGTCGGGCTTTGCTCGTTCCCCACGCGGGGCAGGAGCAGTTCCAGCTCAGTGGGGGATGTTGTGGCCGGGGGGGGCCTCTCCCCTGGCCTGAAGTCTCTCGTTGGGGGCTTTGTGGCCACGTCCAGGGTGGGGATGTTGGCTCGGGGGGTGTCCCCGAGCCCCACGTGTGCCGGCAGAGCTCTGCGGTGCCGCGGGTGGGAGTGGGGCAGGAGGGGAGTGACGCGTCCCATCAGCCTGGCCCTAAAACCAGGATGTTTTCTGTCCCTTCCCCAGGTCTCTGGGACGGGCCAGGACTGTCCCATTTTGGATGTCCCAGAGCTGTGCCCCGGCATTTCAGAGAGTATCCCCAGCGCTGCAGGTTATGGTGGGGCACGACAGGTGAGGTTTGGGGGGGACCCAAACCCCAAAAAGGTCCCTCTTGCAGCGGGTTTGGATCTCCAGGTGGGTCTCCAGCCCCCTGGAAAGGTGTGGGTGCGTGTGTTCAGCTCCCTGGCAGGTCCTGTCAGCTCCCAAGGGACTGGGAAAGAAACCAGACCGGGGGCACTTGTTGGGTTGGGTCCTTTGTGCCTGTAAAATGCAGGTTTGGCCGTTGGTTCCGTATTTATAACGAGGATTTGAACATTGCTGGGGCGGGGAGAAGCTCCCGAGCCCCGGGTTGCTCCTGCGGGGAGGTTTGTGCAGCAGGGTGGGGGTCCCAGGGGTGTTTTGGGGCTCTATCCGAGGGGAGGGCGCTGCCCATCCCTCTGCCCGGGGTGCAGGTCCCGGGCCACGGGGTGGGTGTGTGAGATCCTGGGTGGGAATTTCGCTGAATTATTGACAGGGGGGTGGGAAACAACTCATTGTGAGTGGAGAGGGAGGAGATGGGGAAGGGCTGGGCCTGGAGCTGCAGGAACGTGGCAAGGCTCGTTCCCTGGGAGGGAAAACTGAACTCTATTATAATAAAGACTCCATGTGGTCTCTCTCTCTCCTTCCCTCCTGCAGCCTGAACCCTGTGAGTCAGTCACACGCTTTTTTTTCTCCTCTCCCTCTCCAGCCGGCACCATGTGAGTCAAGGAATCCTGTTGGTAACTTTGTTCCTCTCCTTTCTCTCTCTCCCTCTCTCTCTTTACCCCTTTTAATCTGTTTCCTTTTACTTTTCCTCTTGTGGGTAACTTAAAACCAATGAATTGTGTTTTACTAAAGCTGGTACATGGAGTGTTTTAGTGGGGGTTTCCTTTGGGATGGATCTTTGTGCTAAGTGTTTTAGTGAAGTGCTCTTCTCTTGGTTGTATTTTACTCTTTGTAAAAACGTTTTTCAAAGTTTTTTTTCAATCTTCTTTTTTTATTTTTGTATTTTTAATATTTTTATATTTTATATATTATTTTTATATTTTTAAAATTTTTAATATTCTTTATCTTTTTATCTTCTTTTTTTATATTTTTATCTCTTTTTTCTTCTTTTTATTTTTATTATTTTTTAATCTTTTTTATAATTTTTATAGTTTTTAATATTTTTATCTTCTTTTTTATCTTTATATTTTTAATATTCTTTTTATATTTTTAATCTTATTTTTTATCTTTTTTTAATATTTTTTTATAATTTTTTAAATTTTTTATCTTCTCTTTTTATCTTCTCTTTTAATCTTTTTTTTTTTTATCTTTTTCCCACTGCATTAAAAAGAATTTCTCTCAGAGCAGAGCGTGTGGCTCTTTCTCTGGGCGCTCATGAGAGCTCATAACCACCCTTTTAAAGGCTTTTTAAAGCCTTTTAAAACCTTTAAGGCTTTTAAAAAGTCTGGGGGGAGATGGGTTTGCCCCCTTACCCCTCTCCCTGCTCCCCTCCCCCCCAAACACCGGGATCACCGTGGCACAGGGGGGTGGGGGGATCACTGTCAGCTTTTATTAACCCCCAATAAAACTTTCACCTTCAATCTCTCCCCGAGTCCCACCTGGGACCCCCCCAGCCCCCAGAAGACCCCGTTGCACCCCAAATTCCCCCCCCCGGGGGTCCCCAAAGCCCCCTCAGGGGCGCTGCGGCCGCAGCTTCATCTCGGTGAAGGGGATGGAGACGTTGAAGCCTTTCCAGGGGAACCAGTGGATGCCCTGCGAGGGGGAGGGGGTTGGGGGGTGGGTCAGGACATCCAGAGACCCCCACAGACCATCCTGACCTCTCCAGGTTCCACAGACCCTATAGAACTGCCCAGACCCTATAGAGTCCCCACAGACTCCCACGGGCACTCATAACCCCCCCCCAGAGACCTCTCAGAGAACCCCACAGACCATCCTGACCCCCCAGATTCCACAGACCCTATAGAACTGCCTAGACCCTATAGAGACCCCATAGGCACTCATAACCCCCCCCCCAAGAACCCCATGGACCATCCTGACCCCCCCCAGGTTCCACAGACCCTGTGGATCCCTATAGAACAGCCATGAGCCTGTAGAAACCCCACAGACTCCCACAGACACTCATAACCCCCTCAGAGAGCCCCACAGACCATCCTGACCACTCCAGGTTCTACAGACCCTATAGAACCACCCAGACCCTATAGAAACCCCAGAGACTCCCATGGGCACTCATACCCTCCCCCCTCAAGACCCTACAGACACCTGTGGATCCCCACAGGCCCTACAATACCCCATAAACCCTGTAGGCTCCTACAGACCCCCCCAAACCCCTACAGATAGGTCCCCATACACCCCCAGGGATCCCCCCCCAACCCCATAGACCCTCCAGGGATCCCCTCAAATCTCCCCCTACACCCCCAAACCCCATAGACCCCAGGGATCCCCTCAAATCTCCCCTACACCCCCAAACCCCATGGAGACCCCTAGACTCCCAAATCCTCCCCAAGCCCCCCATACCTGGTGGTCGCGGGTGGTGCCATAGCGCCCATTCAGGTTGGCGTAGTGGCAGTTCCGATACCACCAGGCCCCCCCGTAGGCCACAGCACAGTGGGGGGGCCGGGGGTGCCCCGGGGGCTCACGGGGACCCCGGGGGTCCCGGGGGTCCCGGTCCCGTGTGGAGAAGGGGCTTCCCGAGTGGTAGGAGAGGGCGTCGCCTGCGGGGGGGTGGGGTGGTAGTGTCAACACCCCCACCAGGGGCCCCCAAAAACCCCACAGGGAAACCGAGGAACCCCAAAATCCACAAGGGACCCACAAAACCCCACAAGGACCCCGAGGAACCCCAAAACCCAGCAGGGACACAAAAAATCTACCAGGGACCCCCCAAAACCCAGCAGGGACTCACAGGGACCCCCCCCAGGAACCCCAAAACCCATCAGAAACCCACAGTGACCCCGAGGAACCCCAAAACCCATCAGGGACACAAAAAATCCACCAGGGACTCCCCCAAAACCCCATAGCGACCCCGAGGAACCCCAAAACCCAGCAGGGACTCACAGGGACCTCGAGGAACCTGAAAACCCAGCAGGGACACAAAAAATCCACCAGGGACACCCAAACCCCAGCAGGGACCCTGGGGAACCCCAAAACCCAGCAGGGACCCACAAGGACCCTGAGGAACCCCAGAATCCAGCAGGGCCACAAAACAATCCACCAGGGAACCCCAAAACCCTCCAGGAACACCAAAACATCTCAAGGACCCCAAAAACCTGTCAGGGACACAAAAAATCCACCGGAGACTCCCCAGAACCCTCCAGCAACACCGAAACATCTCAGGACCCCAAAAACCCAGCAAGGACCCCCTTCCCCCAACCCGCAGCCACCGCCCCGCACCGGCAGTGCCGCTGAAGGTCCCGACTCGCAGCCGATATTGCTCCTCGGCGCCGCCCACGGCGAAGTCGCGATAGTGGGCGAAGGCGGAGTCGCGAGGGGTCCGCAGGTCCACACGCAGCTCCGTGGGGGTCCCGGCCGTCAGCGCGTGCAGCGCTTCATTCCCTGCACCCCGAAACCGTCCGGCAACCCCCTGAACCCCTGGGGCCCCCCCCAAACCCCTGGGGACTCACCCAAAGCCTGGGGACCTCTCCAAACTCCCGGGGACCTCCCCAAACCCCTGGGGACCCCCCCACACTCCTGGGGACCCCCCCAAACTCCTGAGGAACCCCCCAACCCCTGAGGAACCCCCCAAACCCTGGGGACCTCCCCACACTCCTGGGGACCCCTCCAAACTCCTGAGGACCCCCCAAACTTCCGGGGACTCCCCCAAACTCCTGGGAAACCCCCCAAACCCCTGGGGACCCCCCCAAACTCCTGGAGTCCCCTCAAACTCCCGGGGACCCCCCCAAGCCCCTGGGGACCTTCCAAACTCCTGGGGACTCCCCCATATTCCCGGGGACCCCCCCAACTCCTGGAGACCCCCCCCAAACTCCTGGGGACCGACTCTTCCCCCCGAATTCCTCCCCCAGATCCTCCCCCCGCATTCCCAGGTCGGCGCCTCATCCTCTGTGCCCCGAAACCCACCCAAGACATTCCCCCTGCCCCTCCAACTGCTGGGGACCACCCGGACCCCCCTCCCCGAGTTACCCTGGGCCCCCTCAGGTGCTGGGGGGAGCCCTTCGAAGTCTCGGGGGCCCCCCCCAAATTCCGGGGTGCCCCTGTGGGGTTGCTTCCCCCGTGTCCCCTCGAATTTCTGGGACCCCCTCAAAGACCCCCGGACTCCCGAACCCCGGGGACCCTCAAACCCTCCTGGGCCCCCCAGACCCCCTCACCGAGCCAGAACTCGCCGCTGATGTTCCCGAAGCCGCGCGCGTACGACTCCCACCCCCGCCAGAAATCCGTGCCCCCGTCCTGGCGCCGCTGGAACACCTTTGGGGGGGTGAAGGGGGTCAGGGGCACCCCCAAAGTCCACCCAGGGGCCCCCCAGTTCCACCCCAGACTCCCCAGTGACACCACAGCCTCTTGCAAACCTTCCCCCCCCCGAAACCCCTAAAGTAGCTTCCCAGTGCCCCCCACTTTCCCTTCCAGTGCCCCCCCAGTTCCTCACCAAAACCTCCCAGTCCCCTCTCAGTGCCTCCAATGCCCCCTCACACCCCCATTATGCTCCCTCAGAACCCTCTGTTGTCCCCCAGGACCCCCGATTTCCTCCCATAAAGTGTCCTGTGGAAGCCCCCCAACCCATTTCCAGTGCCCCTCTGTCACCCCCAACCCCCTCCCTTGCCCCCAAGACCCCCTTGCTCGCACAGAACTACCCATATCCGCCCCTCCCAGTCCCTCCCAGTGCCCCCAGTCCCACCAGCCAGCCGCCGCCGTCGGTCTCCATGTCACAGAAGACCCTGAGGGGCCGGGCCGCGTCCCCCCCGAGGAACACGAGGGTCTCCCCGTGAGGGCCTGGCCTGTTCTGCTGCTCCTCAGTGCAGTCCCGGGGGTGGGGGTGCGGCAGAGGGGCTGGGGAGGGACACGGGGGGGTCCCTCAGGCACCGCGGGGGCTTCTGGGGACCCGGGGGTGCGGGTGCCCCCTCCCCAAAAGGACACAGACCCTCCCCACGCCATCGACGCCAACCCCACCAGGGCCCCGGTGGCCCCAAAAGACCCACTGACCCCACTTGAGGGGCAAACTCCCCCAACCCCCAAAAAACCCCTGCCCCTCAAAAGGACCCCTTCAACGAAACCCCCACCACCCTGGGTCCATTTGACCCCAAAAGACCCAGACTCCCCTCCAAAAGGACCTCTTCAACGAACCCCCACCACCACCCTGGAGTCCAGTTGATCCCCAAAGACCCAGACTCCTCTCCCAAAAGGACCCCTTCACCGAACCCCCCACCCCGGGGTCCACAAAGACTCACACCCCTCCCCAAAAGGATCCGCTTCAACGAACCCACCCGGGGGTCCATGTGACCTCAAAAAGACACAATCCCCCATCCCCAAAAGGACCCCGGGGTCCGGGTGCTCCCGAAATGAGCCCCCCATCCCCCCTCCCCCGCCCCCTAACTCACGGGTGTCAAAGGTGGCCTCGAGGGGTGCGGTTTGGGGGTGCCCCCCCCGGCCCCACAGCTGCACCCCGTAACGTTCCGCCGGCTCCAGCCCCCACAACTGCTGCGACCTGGCCTCGGGGGGCAACTGCAGGGTCTGGGGGGGCACGGAGAGGGGTTGGGGGTTCCGGGGGGGGATTGGAGGCTCCCTGAGGGGTTATTGAGGTGCCCCAAGGGTTATTGGGGTCCCCAGGGGGGTTATCGAGGTGCCCCGAGGGTTATTGGGGTGCCCCAGGGGAGTATTGCAGTTCCCCAAGGTATTGGGGTGCCCGAAGGAGGGTAAGTGGGAACCCCTGAGGTGTTATTGGGGTCCCCCGGGGGGGTATTGGGGTCCCCTGGGAGGTTATTGAGGTGCCCCGAGGGTTATTGGGGTCCCCCCGGAGGAGTATTGGGGTTCCCCAGGGTACTGGGGTGCCCGAAGGAGGGTAAGTGGGAACCCCTGAGGTGTTATTGGGGTCCCCCGGGGGGGTATTGGGGTCCCCTGGGAGGTTATTGAGGTGCCCCAAGGGTTATTGGGGTCCCCCGGGGGGGTATTGGGGTTCCCCAAGGCCTTATTTGGGTCCTCAGGGTATTCGTGTTCCCTGAGGGGCTTTGTGGCCCTTCAGGGGGGTGTTGGGACCCCCATGGGGTTTTTGGGGTCCCCACGGGGTTATTGGGGTCCTCCAAGGGGAGGTTGGATCCTCTCGAGGGTTTTCTTGGGGTCCCTCAAGGAGTTATTGGGGGCCCCCGTGGTGTTATTGGGGTCCCTCAGTGGGGGGATTTTTGGGGCTCGGGGGGATTGGTACCTGCTGGGCCCCCCCCCCCTCCCCGGGGGGGGTTCCTGGGCATTTTTGGAGATACCCTGGGGGGGTCCCCTGGGGATTTTGGGAGGTCCTCAGGGGGGTGTTGGGGTGCTTGGGGGAGGGTCCCATTACCTGCTGGGGCCCCCACCGGAGGGATTACTGGGGATTTTTGGAGAGCCCCTGGGAATTTTGCTCTGGGGTCTCCCTGAGAGGTCCCCGGGGGGGAGGGGTGTTGGGGTGCTTAGGAGGGGTCCCATTACCTGCTGGGGCCCCCCAGGGGGGCCATACACCAGCTCGAAGCCGTTGGGGGGGACACGGGGGGGGTCCCAGTGCACTTGGGCACTGCGGGGCCACACGGAGCCCACCCAGAGGGTTCCTGGGGCACCTGTGGGGGGTTGGAGGGGGGGAACAGCTTACACCCCAAAACCCTTGTGCTTACACCCCAAAACCTCTCCACTGCACCCCAGTGGAGAAGCCCCAGTTTCCCCCCAGTTCTCCCCAGTTCCTCCAAATCCCCTTTTCCCCCCAGTTTCCCACCCCCTCCCCTCCCAGTCGTCCCAAGTTCTCTCCAGTTCCCCCAGTTCTTCCCCCAGTCTCTTCCCAGTGCTGCATTTCCCTTAATCTCCAGTCCCCCCAGTTCCCCTCGGTCCCCCTAAGTTTGCTTTTTGCTCCAGGTCCCCTCAGTTCCCCCATCCCCCCAACCCTCTGGTTCCCTGCAGCCCCCACTTCCCCCCAGTTTCCCCCAAATCTCCCCAGTGCCCAGTTTTCCCAGTTCCCCCTGGTCCCCAGTTCCCACCAGTTCCCCCAGTCCTCAGTTCATCCCAGTTCTCCACAGCTCCCAGTTGTACACATTCCCCCTGAATCCCCAGTTCCCCCAGTTCCCCAGTTCCCATCAGTTTTATTAGGCCCCCAGTTCCTCCCAGATCCCCCCAGTGCCCAGATCCCCCAAGTTCCTTCCAACTGTCCCCAGTTCCCCCCAGTGCCCAGATGCCCTGAGTCCCTTCCAGCTGTCCCCAGTTTGCCCCAGTTCCCAGTTGCCCACAGTCCCTCCCAGTGCTGTGCTCCCCTCACCCTCTAGTATCCTCCAGTACCCTCCAGTCCCCAGTTGCCCCCCAGTTGCCCCCAGTATCCCCTCCCTCACCAGCTCCAGTCCTGCCCAGGGCCCGGGTCCTCCCAGTCCCCCCAGTTCTCCAGTTCCCTCCAGTACAGCCCAGCCCCCCAAACACAGCCCCACTCCAAGACAGGCCCCGGGGGTGTCCTGCAGCCCCGCACCCGTGGTGGCCTCAGTGGCCATGTGCTGGATCCTCTTCCCGCCCCGCAGCCCGTAGAGGTGGAAGCGGTACCGGCGGGACGGGGTCAGCCCCGGCACCGTCACCCAGCGGGACTCGCCATCCAACGGCAGGGCCTGGGGCTGGCCCTGGGCATCCCGGTACTGCAGCATGAAGGAGTCGAAGGGGCCCTCGGGGACGCTCCACTGCAGCCCCACGGAGTTGGGGGTGACGCTGGAGACCCTCAGCTCCCCCAGCACTGCCCGCACCGGAGGCACCTCAGGTGGGGGGTTCTCAGTTTTGGGGTGCTCAGCTGGGGGTGCCTCAGTTGAGGGGGCCTCAGTTTGGGGGTCCATCGAGGGCGGGAGCAGATCATCTGGGTCAGTTGTGGCAGCAATGCAGAGGGGAAGGTGATGAACATCTGCAGCCACGTGTCCATATACATGCCCATCCAACATCCACCCAACCATCCTTTATCCGTCATCCACTGTCTGCCCCCACCCTCTCCCCAACATCCCATCCCCACCCACCATGGAGCAGCCACTGACCTCAGCACTGTCCAGTCAACCTTCGAGCCTTCCACTGACCTACTGACCAACACCCATCGTATCCACCATCACCACCATCGTCATCATCATCCATTCATCATCCATCATCATCATCTTCATCATCATCATCCATCATCCAGCTACCCAACCAACCACCAATCCATCCCTCCCTCTACCCTCCCACTGTACCAGCCATCCCCCCACCTCCAGTCTCCAGTTTCCCAGCCCAGATCCACTCGCTGTTCCTTCTCCCCAATGACATCATCACCCATCATCAAGCACCCACCAATCCCAAGAAACATCTGTTCAATGATTGATACTTCACATCTTCCCATTGACCAACAATCACCATCATCCGTCCTCCATCCATTCTTTCCAACATAACTGCATCTCCTGGAGCATCCATCCATCCATCCATCCATCCCTCAATCCATCCATCCATCAACCCATTAATCCACGATCGATCAATCCTTCCATCAATCCATCCATCCATCAATCCATCCATCCTTCCATCAACCTATCCATCCATTCATCCATCCATCAATCCATCCATCCATTCATCCATTCATCAGTCCATCCACACATCCATCCTTCAGTTCATCCATCCATCCATCCATCCATGCATCTGTCCCTCCCTTCATCCATCCATCCATCAATCAATCCATCCATCCATCAATCCATCCATACTTCCCAACATACTCCATCTCCTGCAGCATCCATCCATCAATACATATAACCATGAATCCATCCATCCATCCCTCCATCCGTCCATCCATCCATCCTTCCCAACGTAACTCTATTTCCTAGATTATCCATCCACCCATCTATCCATCTATCCATCCATCCAACCATCCACCCATCCATCCATCCATCCACACTTCCCTACATCCATCCATCCATTCCTCCATCCATCCATCCATCCATCCATCCCTCCATCCATCCCTCCATCTGTCCATCCATCCATCTATCACTTCATCCATTACTTCATCCATCCATCCACCTGGCCATCCACTGACCCATCCCAAGAGTCCCACTCCACCTATTCACCTATCCAATCCAGGAGCCCTCATCCATTCTCCATCCACTGCACTTCCCTCCTCATATCCCCTCTCCATGACGCTTCTCCCTCACACCAGTTCATTGATCCATGAATCCCGGGATCCACTCAGGCTCCATCCAGCCGTCCATCCATCCATCCACCCATCCATCCGTCCATCCATCCAGGCTTCTTCCACCCACCTACCCACTGGTGCGTTCATTCACTCACCCTCCATCCACCCAACTCTCCATCCATCCTGTCACTGTCCAGTTCTCCAATGATCCTTCTATTCATGAACCCTCCACCCTTCCACCCATCAATCCATCCATCATCCATCTCTGTGTCTGTCTCTCCATCCCTCCCTCTGTCCCAAAACTCATCTCTCCAACCCTTCCTCCCTGTGCCCTTCCCCCTCACCCGTGGAGACATCGATGGAGACGCGCTCAATCCTCTTCCCACCCCGCAGCCCGTAGAGGTGGAAGCGGTACCGGCGGGATGGGGACAGCCCCAGCACAGTCACCCAGCGGGACTCGCCATCCAACGGCAGGGCCTGGGGCTGGCCCTGGGCATCCCGGTACTGCAGCGTGAAGGAGTCGAAGGGGCCCTCGGGGACGCTCCACTGCAGCCCCACAGAGTTGGGGGTGACGCTGGAGACCCTCAGCTCCCCCAGCACCGCCCGTGCCGGGGGTACCACATTTGGTTGGGGCTCCTGCTCGTGCTCCTCAGACGGGGAGTCCTCAGCTGGGGGAGCCTCTGAGGAGGAGGCTGGTGCTGTGTGGAGATGGAACGAGGCAGGACGTGGAGATCAACCAACTGCCTGTCTTTCTATCTACCCACCAAGGCCAAATTCAGCCTCCCCTCTGTCCTTCCACACCACCCCTCACCCCTCCTGCCCCACTCAGCCAGGGCACAAACCAGCAATGGGCTCATCTCAACCTGCACCCGTCCATAAACACGTCCACCTATCCATCCATCCATCCATCCATCCATCCATCCGCCCATCCATCCGCCCATCCATCCATCCATCCATCCATCCATCCCTCGCTTCCTTCCTGTCTCACACCCATCCCAACCCCACACATCATCCCACATCTATATCTCTAGCTCTTTCTCCTCACATCACTCCAGACCTCTACCCCTGCCATTCCCAATTCCCATGGACAATCTTGCACCATAAGAACACACATAAAGACACCAGGAAAGCTCCATCCATCCTGGCTTTCCCATATTCATTCAACCATTCATCCACCCATTCACCTCCTGCCATCCACCTGTGCAGGAACCCACCCACCATCAGGTCTGGAATCCACTCAGCCATTCCATTCTTGATCCATCATGGATGGACGATGATGATGATGATGATGATGATGATGATGATGATGATCATATTGATGGATGGTGAATGAGAACGTTGATGGGTGAAGGTCATTGTGGTGATGGGGAATGATGAAGAGGATGGGGGATGACAACAGGTGTTGATCAATGAGTGGTTGAAGGGTCGATGATCAATTGGATGGTACCAAGCTCAGTGGTTCCCAGTGGTGGGAGGGAATGAGATGGGGATAGGATGCCATGATCAACCCATCCTTCTACCCTTTCCCTCACCTGTGGTGGCCTCAGTGGAGACGTGGTGGATCCTCTTCCCACCCCGCAGCCCGTAGAGGTGGAAGCGGTACCGGCGGGATGGGGACAGCCCCGGAACTGTCACCCAGCGGGACTCGCCATCCATGGGCAGGGCCTGGGGCTGGCCCTGGGCATCCCGGTATTGCAGCGTGAAGGAGTCAAAGGGGCCCTTGGGGACGCTCCACTGCAGCCCCACGGAGTTGGGGGTGATGCTGGAGACCCTCAGCTCCCCCAGCACTGCCTGCACTGGGGGCACCTCAGGTGGGGGAGACTCAGTTTGGGGGGCCTCGGGTTGGGGTTCCTTTGAGTGCTGGGGCGGCTCCTCTGGCTCTGCTGTGGATGTGAAGGAGGGGGAATGGTGATTGACGTGGCCATCTGCTTGTCCATGCATCATCTACCTAAGCACCCATCCATCCATGATCCATCTCTCTTATCCATCCATCACTCCCATCACTGCCATCACATCTTTTCACTCTTTTTCTCCTTCAGCTCCTTAACTTCTCCCTCCATTGGATCATCCAACCATCAAATCATTGATCTGATCTTCCAAATCACCAGAAACTGCCCTACATGTGTCATCCCTCCATCCATCTCATCCTCCATCTCATCTCCTTCCATCCATCCATCCATCCTCCATCATCATCCATCCATCCATCCATCCCTCCATCCCTTCACCCTCCCAGTGCTCATCTCCCCAACCATCATTCCCAAACTGTGAAACAGGGTTGGGAATTTGGGAACAGCTGGGGGTGTAGGGACTGGTGGTGGGTGATGGGAGGATGATGATGCATGATGAGATGATGATCATATAATGATGGTGAATGGATGATGATGATGATGATGGTGGGTGACAGTTGGGGACTGATGGTGGGTGATGGATGGATGATGATGGATGATGAGTTGATATTAAAGTAATGATGATGATGATGATGATGGTGGCTGACAGTGGCTGCTGCTCACTAGGCTGTTGGAAGGGTTGATGGTTGACTGGATGGTGCTGGGCTTGGTGGGTGCTCATTAGCCAATAGGGATGTGATGGTGGTGGGATCCCCTTGATCCCTGCGTTGTTCCATCCCTACATCCAACCCTCCACCCATACATCCCTCTTTACATCCCTACTTCCATCTCTCCAACTCTTCCTCCCTGTGCCCTTCGCCCTCACCTGTGGAGACATCGATGGAGACGCGCTCGATCCTCTTCCCGCCCCGCAGCCCGTAGAGGTGGAAGCGGTACCGGCGGGACGGGGACAGCCCCGGAACCGTCACCCAGCGGGACTCGCCATCCAACGGCAGGGCCTGGGCCTGGCCCTGGGCATCCCGGTACTGCAGCGTGAAGGAGTCGAAGGGGCCCTCGGGGACGCTCCACTGCAGCCCCACGGAGTTGGGGGTGATGCTGGAGACCCTCAGCTCCCCCAGTACTGCGCGCGCCGGGGGTTTCTCAGGTTGGGGAGCCTCAGTTTGGGGGGGTTCAGGTTGGGGCTCCTCTGAGGGTGGGGGCGGTTCCTCTGGCTCAGCCGGGGCTGTGATGGAGAGGGGATGGTGATGGGCGTGAGCATTGCTTGTTCATTCGCCTCTCCATGCATCATCTACCAAACCTCGCATCCGTCCATGATCCATCCCTCCCATCCATCCAGCCCCCATCCCTCCTATTACATCTTTTCCCTCCTTTTCTCCTTCAGCTCCTTAACTTCTCCCTCCATTGGATCATCCAGCCATCAAATCATTGATCTGATCTTCCAAATCACCACAGACTGCCCTACATGTGTCATCCATCCATCCCTCCCTCCATCCATCCACCCGTCCATCCGTCCATCCATCCAGGCTTCTTCCACCCACCTACCCACTGGTGCGCTGATTCACTCACCCTCCATCCACCCAACTCTCCATCCATCCTGTCACTGTCCAGTTCTCCAATGATCCTTGTGTTAATTGGCCCACCCTTCTATTCATGAATCCTCCACCATTCCACCCATCGATCCATCCATCATCCATCTCTGTGTCTGTCTCTCCATCCCTCCCTCTGTCCCAAAACTCATCTCTCCAACCCTTCCTCCCTGTGCCCTTCCCCCTCACCCGTGGAGACATCGATGGAGACGCGCTCAATCCTCTTCCCACCCCGCAGCCCGTAGAGGTGGAAGCGGTACCGGTGGGACGGGGACAGCCCCGGCACCGTCACCCAGCGGGACTCGCCATCCAACGGCAGGGCCTGGGGCTGGCCCTGGGCATCCCAGTACTGCAGCGTGAAGGAGTCGAAGGGGCCCTCGGGGACGCTCCACTGCAGCCCCACAGAGTTGGGGGTGACGCTGGAGACCCTCAGCTCCCCCAGCACTGCCCGTGCCAGGGGTGCCAAACTTGGTTGGGGCTCCTGCTCGTGCTCCTCAGACGGGGAGTCCTCAGCTGGGGGAGCCTCTGAGGGGGAGGCTGGTGCTGTGTGGAGATGGAACGAGGCAGGACGTGGAGATCAACCAACTGCCTGTCTTTCTATCTACCCATCAAGGCCAAATTCAGCCTCCCCTCTGTCCTTCCACACCACCCCTCACCCCTCCTGCCCCACTCACCCAGGGCACAAACCAGCCATGGGCTCATCTCAACCTGCACCCGTCCATAAACACGTCCACCCATCCATCCGCCCATCCATCCGCCCATCCATCCGCCCATCCATCCGCCCATCCATCCATCCATCCATCCATCCATCCCTCGGTTCCTTCCTGTCTCGCACCCATCCCAACTCCACACATCATCCCACATCTATATCTCTGGCTCTTTATCCTCACATCACTCCAGGCCTCTACCCCTGTCATTCCCATTTCTCATGGACAAACTTGCACCATAAGAACACACATAAAGACACCAGGAAAGCTCCATCCATCCTGGCTTTCCCACATTCATTCAACCATTCATCCACCCATTCACCTCCTGCCATCCATCTGGGCAGGAACCCACCCACCATCAGGTCTGGAATCCACTCAGCCATTCCATTCTTGATCCATCATGGATGGACGATGATGATGATGATGATGATGATGATGATGATGATGGATGAAGACAGATGATGATCATTGTATCGATGGACGGTGAATGAGAATAACAATGAAGGGTGAAGGTCATTGTGGTGATGGGGAATGATGAAGAGGATGGGGGATGACAACAGGTGTTGATGAATGGGTGGTTGAAGGCTCGATGATCAATTGGATGGTACCAAGCTCAGTGGTTCCCAGTGGTGGGAGGGAATGAGATGGGGATAGGATGCCATGATCAACCCATCCCTCTACCCTTCCCCTCACCTGTGGTGGCCTCAGTGGAGACGTGGTGGATCCTCTTCCCACCCTGCAGCCCGTAGAGGTGGAAGCGATACCGGCGGGACGGGGACAGCCCCGGAACTGTCACCCAGCGGGACTCGCCATCCATGGGCAGGGCCTGGGGCTGGCCCTGGGCATCCCGGTACTGCAGCATGAAGGAGTCGAAGGGGCCCTTGGGGACGCTCCACTGCAGCCCCACGGAGTTGGGGGTGACGCTGGAGACCCTCAGCTCCCCCAGCACTGCCTGCACTGGGGGCACCTCAGGTGGGGGAGACTCAGTTTGGGGGGCCTCGGGTTGGGGTTCCTTTGAGTGCTGGGGCGGCTCCTCTGGCTCTGCTGTGGATGTGAAGGAGGGGGAATGGTGATTGACGTGGCCATCTGCTTGTCCATGCATCATCTACCTAAGCACCCATCCATCCATGATCCATCTCTCTTATCCATCCATCACTCCCATCACTGCCATCACATCTTTTCACTCTTTTTCTCCTTCAGCTCCTTAACTTCTCCCTCCATTGGATCATCCAACCATCAAATCATTGATCTGATCTTCCAAATCACCACAAACTGCCCTACATGTGTCATCCCTCCATCCATCCATCCCTCCATCTATCCTTCCATCCATCCATCCATCCATCCCTCCATCCCTTCACCCTCCCAGTGTTCATCTCCCCAACCATCATTCCCAAACTGTGAAACAGGGTTGGGAATTTGGGAACAGCTGGGGGTGTAGGGACTGGTGGTGGGTGATGGGAGGATGATGATGCATGATGAGATGATGATCATACAATGATGGTGAATGGATGATGATGATGATGGTGGGTGACAGTTGGGATTGATGGTGGGTGATGGATGGATGATGATGGATGATGAGTTGATATTAAAGTAATGAGGTGGAGGGATGATGATGATGATGGTGGCTGACAGTGGCTGCTGCTCACTAGGCTGTTGAAGGGTCGATGGTTGACTGGATGGTGCTGGGCTTGGTGGGTGCTCATTAGCCAATAGGGATGTGATGGTGGTGGGATCCCCTTGATCCCTGCATTGTTCCATCCCTACATCCAACCCTCCACCCATACATCCCTCTTTACATCCCTACTTCCATCTCTCCAACCCTTCCTCCCTGTGCCCTTCGCCCTCACCTGTGGTGGCCTCAGTGGAGACGCGGTCGATCCTCTTCCCACCCCGCAGCCCGTAGAGGTGGAAGCGGTACCGGCGGGACGGGGACAGCCCCGGAACCGTCACCCAGCGGGACTCGCCATCCATGGGCAGGGCCTGGGGCTGGCCCTGGGCATCCCGGTACTGCAGCATGAAGGAGTCGAAGGGGCCCTTGGGGACGCTCCACTGCAGCCCCACGGAGTTGGGGGTGATGCTGGAGACCCTCAGCTCCCCCAGCACTGCCTGCAGCTGGGGGCACCTCAGGTTGGGGAGACTCAGTTTGGGGGGCCTCGGGTTGGGGTTCCTCTGAGTGCTGGGGCGGCTCCTCTGGCTCTGCTGTGGATGTGAAGGAGAGGGAATGGTGATGTGAGCATTGCTTGTCCATCTGCTTGTCCATGCATCATCTACCTAAGCACCCATCCATCCATGATCCATCTCTCTTATCCATCCATCACTCCCATCACTGCCATCACATCTTTTCACTCTTTTTCTCCTTCAGCTCCTTAACTTCTCCCTCCATTGGATCATCCAACCATCAAACCATTGATCTGATCTTCCAAATCACCAGAAACTGCCCTACATGTGTCATCCCTCCATCCATCCATCCATCCATCTATCCATCCATCCATCCATCCCTCCATCTATCCATCCCTCCATCTATCCATCCATCCATCCATCCATCCCTCCATCCCTTCACCCTCCCAGTGCTCATCTCCCCAACCATCATTCCCAAACTGTGAAACAGGGTTGGGAATTTGGGAACAGCTGGGGGTGTAGGGACTGGTGGTGGGTGATGGGAGGATGATGATGCATGATGAGATGATGATCATATAATGATGGTGAATGGATGATGATGATGATGATGGTGGGTGACAGTTGGGATTGATGGTGGGTGATGGATGGATGATGATGGATGATGAGTTGATATTAAAGTAATGAGGTGGAGGATGATGATGATGATGGTGGCTGACAGTGGCTGCTGCTCACTAGGCTGGTGGAAGGGTTGATGGTTGACTGGATGGTGCTGGGCTTGGTGGGTGCTCATTAGCCAATAGGGATGTGATGGTGGTGGGATCCCCTTGATCCCTGCATTGTTCCATCCCTACATCCAACCCTCCACCCATACATCCCTCTTTACATCCCTACTTCCATCTCTCCAACTCTTCCTCCCTGTGCCCTTCGCCCTCACCTGTGGAGACATCGATGGAGACGTGCTCGATCCTCTTCCCGCCCCGCAGCCCGTAGAGGTGGAAGCGGTACCGGCGGGACGGGGACAGCCCTGGAACCGTCACCCAGCGGGACTCGCCATCCATGGGCAGGGCCTGAGGCTGGCCCTGGGCATCCCGGTACTGCAGCGTGAAGGAGTCGAAGGGGCCCTCAGGGACGCTCCACTGCAGCCCCACGGAGTTGGGGGTGATGCTGGAGACCCTCAGCTCCCCCAGCACTGCGCGCGCCGGGGGTTTCTCAGGTTGGGGAGCCTCAGTTTGGGGGGGTTCAAGTTGGGGCTCCTCTGAGGGTGGGGGCGGTTCCTCTGGCTCAGCCGGGGCTGTGATGGAGAGGGGATGGTGATGGGCGTGAGCATTGCTTGTTCATTCGCCTCTCCATGCATCATCTACCAAACCTCGCATCCTGTCCATCCATCCAGCCCCCATCCCTCCTATTACATCTTTTCCCTCCTTTTCTCCTTCAGCTCCTTAACTTCTCCCTCCATTGGATCATCCAGCCATCAAATCATTGATCTGATCTTCCAAATCACCACAGACTGCCCTACATGTGTCGTCCATCCATCCCTCCCTCCATCCATCCACCCGTCCATCCGTCCATCCATCCAGGCTTCTTCCACCCACCTACCCAATGGTGCATTCATTCACTCACCCTCCATCCACCCAACTCTCCATCCATCCTGTCACTGTCCAGTTCTCCCATGATCCTTGTGTTAATTGGCCCACCCTTCTATTCATGAATCCTCCACCATTCCACCCATCGATCCATCCATCATCCATCTCTGTGTCTGTCTCTCCATCCCTCCCTCTGTCCCAAAACTCATCTCTCCAGCCCTTCCTCCCTGTGCCCTTCCCCCTCACCCGTGGAGACATCGATGGAGACGCGCTCAATCCTCTTCCCACCCCGCAGCCCGTAGAGGTGGAAGCGGTACCGGCGGGACGGGGACAGTCCCGGAACCGTCACCCAGCGGGACTCGCCATCCAACGGCAGGGCCTGGGGCTGGCCCTGGGCATCCCGGTACTGCAGCGTGAAGGAGTCGAAGGGGCCCTCGGGGACGCTCCACTGCAGCCCCACAGAGTTGGGGGTGACGCTGGAGACCCTCAGCTCCCCCAGCACTGCCCGTGCCAGGGGCGCCACACTTGGTTGGGGCTCCTGTTCGTGCTCCTCAGACGGGGAGTCCTCAGCTGGGGAGCCTCTGAGGGGGAGGCTGGTGCTGTGTGGAGATGGAACGAGGCAGGACGTGGAGATCAACCAACTGCCTGTCTTTCTATCTACCCATCAAGGCCAAATTCAGCCTCCCCTCTGTCCTTCCACAGCACCCCTCACCCCTCCTGCCCCACTCACCCAGGGCACAAACCAGCCATGGGCTCATCTCAACCTGCACCCGTCCATAAACACGTCCACCCATCCATCCATCCATCCATCCAACCATCCGCCCATCCATCTCACCCATTCTTCACTTATTCCATCCACCCTTCCTTCCCATTCTTATTCTGGTCGTACCATCCATCCATCACTTACTCCATCCATCCATCCATCCGCCCATCCATCCATCCATCCATCCATCCCTCGCTTCCTTCCTGTCTCACACCCATCCCAACCCCACACATCATCCCACATCCATATCTCTAGCTCTTTCTCCTCACATCACTCCAGACCTCTACCCCTGCCATTCCCAATTCCCATGGACAATCTTGCACCATAAGAACACACATAAAGACACCAGGAAAGTTCCATCCATCCTGGCTTTCCCATATTCATTCAACCATTCATCCACCCATTCACCTCCTGCCATCCATCTGGGCAGGAACCCACCCACCATCAGGTCTGGAATCCACTCAGCCATTCCATTCTTGATCCATCATGGATGGACGATGATGATGATGATGATGATGATGATGATGATGATCATCATATCGATGGATGGTGAATGAGAACGTTGATGGGTGAAGGTCATTGTGGTGATGGGGAATGATGAAGAGGATGGGGGATGACAACAGGTGTTGATCAATGAGTGGTTGAAGGGTCGATGATCAATTGGATGGTACCAAGCTCAGTGGTTCCCAGTGGTGGGAGGGAATGAGATGGGGATGGGATGCCATGATCAACCCATCCTTCTACACTTCCCCCTCACCTGTGGTGGCCTCAGTGGAGACGTGGTGGATCCTCTTCCCACCCCGCAGCCCATAGAGGTGGAAGCGGTACCGGCGGGATGGGGACAGCCCCGGCACCGTCACCCAGCGGGACTCGCCATCCATGGGCAGGGTCTGGGGCTGGCCCTGGGCATCCCGGTACTGCAGCATGAAGGAGTCGAAGGGGCCCTTGGGGACGCTCCACTGCAGCCCCACGGAGTTGGGGGTGACGCTGGAGACCCTCAGCTCCCCCAGCACCGCCCACACTGGGGGCGCCTCAGGTGGGGGGTCCTCAGTTTCGGGGGGCTCATGTTGGGGCTCCTCTGAGGGCTGGGGAGGCTCCTCTGGCTCAGCCGGGGCTATGATGGAGAGGGGATGGTGATGGGCGTGGCCATCCATGTCTGCATCCATCATTTACCCAATTTTTGTTTATCATCCATCCATCAGTTTCTCCTTCCATCCATGAACAATCAACCATCCATCCCTCCACCCATCCATCTGTCCATCTGTCCATCCATCCATCCATCCATCCATCCCTTCATCCATCCCTCCGTCCCTCCGTCCATCCCCCCGTCCCTTGATTCATCCCTCTATCCACCCACCCATCCATCCATCCATCCCTCCCTCCATCCATCCATCCCTCCATCTCTCCAACTATCCATCCATCCATCCCTCCCTCTCTCCATCCATCCATCTATGGATGCGTCCATCCATCCATGCATCCCTCCATCCATCTATCTATTACTTCATCCATTACTTCATCCATTGATCCACCCATCCATCCATCCACCCGGCCATCCACAGACCCATCCTGAGAGCCCCACATCACCCATCCACCCATCCAATCCAGGAGCCCCCATCCACTCTCCATCCATTGCACTTCCATCCCCGCATCCCCTCTCCATGACCTTTCTCCCTCACACCAATCAATGGATCATTAAACCCCAGGATCCACTCAGGCTCCAACCACACATTAAGTCATTCAATGGTCAATTAGTCACCTGAGCACCCACCCATCCATCCTGGTTTCCATCCAGTCATCCATCCAGCCAGCCATCCGTCCATCTATCCATCCCTCCATTGATCCATCCATTCATCTGTCCATCTGTCCATCCATCCCTCACTCCATTAATCCATCCATCCACCCATCCATCCACGCTTCCATCCATCCATCCCATCACCCACCCAACACCCAACCCAACCCTCTCCCAAGCCCACATCTGTCTCTCCAACTCCTTCTCCACAAATTCCCTCAGGTCTCCCCCTCCACTAACCCCGTTTTACACACAACATTTTCCATCCAACAGAATTAGCATCGGGAACCCTCCATCCATCCATCCCAGCTGCCTCACGGCCATCCAAACACTCATCCACCCATCCAATTTCATCCACCTACTCATCCATCATTCCAATTTCTTCCATCCATCTGGACAGGAACCCACCCACTATCCAGTCTGGAATCCATTCAGCCATTCTGTTCCTGATCCATCATGGATGGACGATGACAATGATGATGATGATGATGATGATGATGATGATGATGATGATGGATGAAGATGGATTGTCTATAAAGATGGTTGATGATGATTATATCAATGGAGGGTAAATGAGAATAATGATGATGGGTGAAGGTCATTGTGGTGATGGGGAATGATGAAGAGGATGGGGGATGATAGCAGGTGTTGGTCAATGGGTGGTTGAAGGGTCAGTGATCAATTCGATGGTACCGAGGTCAGTGGGTCCTTGACGGTGGGAGGGACTGAGATGGGGATGGGATCCCATGATCAACCAATCCCTCTGCCCTTCCCCCTCACCTGTGGTGGCCTCAGTGGAGACGTGGTGGATCCTCTTCCCACCCCGCAGCCCGTAGAGGTGGAAGCGGTACTGGTGGGATGGGGACAGCCCCGGCACTGTCACCCAGCGGGACTCGCCATCCATGGGCACGGCCTGGGGCTGGCCCTGGGCATCCCGGTACTGCAGCATGAAGGAGTCGAAGGGGCCCTCGGGGACGCTCCACTGCAGCCCCACGGAGTTGGGGGTGACGCTGGAGACCCTCAGCTCCCCCAGCACCGCTCGCGCCGCAGGCGCTGCACTTGGTTGAGGCTCCTGCTCGTGCTCCTCAGACGGGGAGTCCTCAGCTGGGGGAGCCTCTGAGGGGGAGGCTGGTGCTGTGCGGAGATGGGACAAGGCAGGATGTGGAGTTCAACCACCTGCCTGTCCTTCTTTCCACCCATTATCTGTCCCACTTCACACAGCCCCCATGTCAGTCCTTCCACCCCCACCCTCCTGCCCCACTCACCCAGGGCACAAACCAGTCATGGGCTCATCCCAACCTGCACCCATCCAAAAACAAGTCTACCCATCTGTCCATTGATCCATCCATTTCATCCATCCAATCCTGGAGACCTCCACCCTCCCATCTATGCATTTACCACCCCCACCATTATTCCATCCCTCCTCTTCTTCGAATGTTCCATCTGTCCTTCCTTCCTTCCTCTTGTTCTTCTGTTCATCCATCCATCCATCCTTCCATCCATCCATCCATCCCTCACTCACTCCATCCATCAACCCATTCATCCATCCATTGATCAATCCTTCCATCAACCCATCCATCCATTCATCGATCAATCCTTCCATCAACCCATCCATCCATTCATCCATCCATCCATCCATCAATCCATCCATCCATCCAATCATCCATCCATCCATCAATCCATCCATCTATCAACACATCCATCAATCCATCCATCCATCCTTCCATCAACCCATCCATCCATCCATCCATCCATCCATCCATTCATCATTCCATCCATTCATCCTTCAGTTCATCCATCCATCTGTCCCTTCCTACATCCATCCATCCCTCCATCCATTCATCCCTCCCTCCCTCCCTCCCTCCATCCATCCATGCAGCCATCCATCCATCCATCCATCAATCCATCCATCTGTTCATTCATCCATCCATCCATCCATCCATCCATCCATCCATACCTCCATGAATCTATCCATCCATCCCTCCATCCTTCCATCCACCCATCCATCCATCCACACTTCCCTCCATCCCTCCATCCCTCCATCCCTCCATCCATCCCTCCATCCATCCCTCCATCCATCTATCCATCCCTCCATCCATTTATCACTTCATCCATTGCTTCATCCATCCATCCACCCGGCCATCCACTGACCCATCCTGAGAGCCCCACTCCACCTATTCACCCATCCAATCTAGGAGCCCCCATTCATTCTCCATCCATTGAACTTCCCTCCTCATATCCCCTCTCCATGACGCTTCTCCCTCACACCAGTTCATCGATCCATGAATCCCGGGATCCACTCAGGTTCCATCCATCCGTCCATCCATCCATCCAGGCTTCTTCCACCCACCTACCCACTGGTGCATTCATTCACTCACCCTCCATTCACCCAACTCTCCATCCATCCTGTCACTGTCCAGTTCTCCAATGATCCTTGTGTTAATTGGCCCACCCTTCTATTCATGAATCCTCCACCCTTCCACCCATTGATCCATCCATCATCCATCTCTGTGTCTGTCTCTCCATCCCTCCTTCTGTCTCAAAATTGATCTCTCCAGCCCTTCCTCCCTGTGCCCTTCCCCCTCACCCGTGGAGACATCGATGGAGACGCGCTCAATCCTCTTCCCACCCCGCAGCCCGTAGAGGTGGAAGCGGTACCGGCGGGACGGGGACAGCCCCGGAACCGTCACCCAGCGGGACTCGCCATCCAACGGCAGGGCCTGGGGCTGGCCCTGGGCATCCCGGTACTGCAGCGTGAAGGAGTCGAAGGGGCCCTCGGGGACGCTCCACTGCAGCCCCACAGAGTTGGGGGTGACGCTGGAGACCCTCAGCTCCCCCAGCACTGCCTGTGCTGGGGGCGCCACACTTGGTTGGGGCTCCTGCTCGTGCTCCTCAGACGGGGAGTCCTCAGCTGGGGGAGCCTCTGAGGGGGAAGCTGGTGCTGTGTGAAGATGGAACGAGGCAGGACGTGGAGATCAACCAACTGCCTGTCTTTCTATCCACCCATCAAGGCCAAATTCAGCCTCCCCTCTGTCCTTCCACACCACCCTCACCCCTCCTGCCCCACTCAGCCAGGGCACAAACCAGCCATGGGCTCATCTCAACCTACACCTGTCCATGAACACGTCCACCTATCCATCCATCCATCCATACACCCATCCATCCATCCGCCCATACACTCATCCATCCATCCATCCAACCATCCACCCATCAAACCATCACTTTTTCCATACCATCCCTCCATCCATCCATCCATCCCTCCATCCATTTATCACTTCATCCATTGTTTCATCCATCCATCCACCCGGCCATCCACTGACCCATCCTGAGAACCCCACTCCACCTATTCACCCATCCAATCTAGGAGCCCCCATTCGTTCTCCCTCCATCGCACTTCCCTCCTCATATCCCCTCTCCATGATGCTTCTCCCTCACACCAGTTCATTGATCCATGAATCCTGGGATCCACCCAGGCTCCATCCAACCGTCCCTCCATCCATCCAGGCTTCTTCCACCCACCTACCCACTGGTGCATTCATTCACTCACCCTCCATCCACCCAACTCTCCATCCATCCTGTCACTGTCCAGTTCTCCAATGATGCTTGAGTTAATTGGCCCACCCTTCTATTCATGAACCCTCCACCCTTCCACCCATCGATCCATCCATCATCCATCTCTGTGTCTGTCTCTCCATCCCTCCCTCTGTCTCAAAATTGATCTCTCCAACCCTTCCTCCCTGTTCCCTTCGCCCTCACCCGTGGAGACATCGATGGAGACGCGCTCAATCCTCTTCCCACCCCGCAGCCCGTAGAGGTGGAAGCGGTACCGGCGGGACGGGGACAGCCCCGGCACCGTCACCCAGCGGGACTCGCCATCCAACGGCAGGGCCTGGGGCTGGCCCTGGGCATCCCGGTACTGCAGCGTGAAGGAGTCGAAGGGGCCCTCGGGGACGCTCCACTGCAGCCCCACAGAGTTGGGGGTGACGCTGGAGACCCTCAGCTCCCCCAGCACTGCCTGTGCTGGGGGCGCCACACTTGGTTGGGGCTCCTGCTCGTGCTCCTCAGACGGGGAGTCCTCAGCTGGGGGAGCCTCTGAGGGGGAAGCTGGTGCTGTGTGGAGATGGAACGAGGCAGGACGTGGAGATCAACCAACTGCCTGTCTTTCTATCCACCCATCAAGGCCAAATTCAGCCTCCCCTCTGTCCTTCCACACCACCCTCACCCCTCCTGCCCCACTCACCCAGGGCACAAACCAGCCATGGGCTCATCTCAACCTGCACCCGTCCATGAACACGCCCACCCATCCATCCATCCATCCATCCATCCATCCATCCATCCATCCATCCCTCCCTCCCTGGACACTCCCATCCCTCCAGTCACCCACCCAGCCATCCATCTATCCATTCTCCAGAAACCCATCCATTGCTCTATCCTACCCATTCTTCACTTATTCCATCCATCCTTCCTTCCCATTCTTATTCTGGTCGTACCATCCATCCATCACTTACTCCATCCATCCACCCATCCATCACTTACTCCATCCATCCACCCATCCATCCATCCATCCATCCATCCATCCATCCATCCGCCCATCCATCCATCCATCCATCCCTCGCTTCCTTCCTGTCTCGCACCCATCCCAACTCCACACATCATCCCACATCCATATCTCTGGCTCTTTATCCTCACATCACTCCAGGCCTCTACCCCTACCATTCCTATTTCTCATGGACAATCTTGCACCATAAGAGCACACATACAGACACCAGGAAAGCTCCATCCATCCTGGATTTCCCACATTCATTCAACCATTCATCCACCCATTCACCTCCTGCCATCCATCTGGGAAGGAACCCACCCACCATCAGGTCTGGAATCCACTCAGCCATTCCGTTCTTGATCCATCATGGATGGACGATGATGATGATGATGATGGATGAAGACAGATGATGATCATTGGATCGATGGATGATGATGATGATGATGGATGAAGGCGGATGATGATCATTGTATCGATGGACGGTGAATGAGAATAACAATGAAGGGTAAAGATCACTGTGGTGATGGGGAATGATGAAGAGGATGGGGGATGACAACAGGTGTTGATCAATGAGTGGTTGAAGGGTCGATGATCAATTGGATGGTACCAAGCTCAGTGGTTCCCAGTGGTGGGAGGGAATGAGATGGGGATAGGATGCCATGATCAACCCATCCCTCTACCCTTTTCCCTCACCTGTGGTGGCCTCAGTGGAGACGTGGTGGATCCTCTTCCCACCCCGCAGCCCGTAGAGGTGGAAGCGATACCGGCGGGATGGGGACAGCCCCTGCACCGTCACCCAGCGGGACTCGCCATCCATGGGCAGGGCCTGGGGCTGGCCCTGGGCATCCCGGTACTGCAGCGTGAAGGAGTCGAAGGGGCCCTTGGGGACGCTCCACTGCAGCCCCACGGAGTTGGGGGTGACGCTGGAGACCCTCAGCTCCCCCAGCACTGCCTGCACTGAGGGCACCTCAGGTGGGGGAGACTCAGTTTGGGGGGCCTCGGGTTGGGGTTCCTTTGAGTGCTGGGGCGGCTCCTCTGGCTCTGCTGTGGATGTGAAGGAGGAGGAATGGTGATTGACGTGGCCATCTGCTTGTCCATGCATCATCTACCTAAGCACCCATCCATCCATGATCCATCTCTCTTATCCATCCATCACTCCCATCACTGCCATCACATCTTTTCACTCTTTTTCTCCTTCAGCTCCTTAACTTCTCCCTCCATTGGATCATCCAACCATCAAATCATTGATCTGATCTTCCAAATCACCACAAACTGCCCTACATGTGTCATCCCTCCATCTATCCACCCATCCATCCATCCATCCCTCGCTTCCTTCCTGTCTTGCACCCATCCCAACTCCACACATCATCCCACATCCATATCTCTGGCTCTTTCTCCTCACATCACTCCAGGCCTCTACCCCTGCCATTCCCAATTCCCATGGAAAAACTTGCACCATAATAACATACATACAGACACCAGGAAAGCTCCATCCATCCTGGCTTTCCCATATTCATTCAACAATTCATCCACCCATCCACCTCCTGCCATCTATCTGGGCAGGAACCCACCCACCATGCAGTCCGGAATCCACTCAGCCATTCCTTTCTTGATCCATCATGGATGGATCAAGATGGATGATGATGATGATGATGATGATGATGATGATGGATGAAGATGGATGATGATGATCATATCGATGGATGGTGAATGAGAACAACGTTGATGGGTGAAGGTCATTGTTGGGGAATGTTGATGGGGAATGATGAAGAGGATGGGGGATGACGGCAAGTGTTAGTCAATGGGTGGTCGAAGGGTCGATGATAAATTGGATGGTACCGAGTTCAGTGGGTTCTTGACGGTGGGTGGGAATGAGATGGGGATGGGATGCCATGATCAACCCATCACCCTGCCCTTCCCCCTCACCTGTGGTGGCCTCAGTGGAGACGAGTTCGATCCTCTTCCCACCCCGCAGCCCGTAGAGGTGGAAGCGGTACTGGTGGGATGGGGACAGCCCCGGCACAGTCACCCAGCGGGACTCGCCATCCATGGGCAGGGTCTGGGGCTGGCCCTGGGCATCCCGGTATTGCAGCATGAAGGAGTCGAAGGGGCCCTCGGGGATGCTCCACTGCAGCCCCACAGAGTTGGGGGTGATGCTGGAGACCCTCAGCTCCCCCAGCACTGCCTGTGCTGGGGGCCACTTGGTTGGGGCTCCTGCTCGTGCTCTCAGACGGGAGTCTCAGCTTGGGGAGCCTCTGAGGTGGAGGCTGGTGCTGTGTGGAGATGGACTGAGGCAGGACGTGGAGATCAACCAACTGCCTGTCTTTCTATCCACCTATCAAGGCCAAATGCAGCTCCTCTGTCCTTCCACACACCCCTCACCCTCCTGCCCGCTCACCAGGCATCATCCAGCCATGGGCTCATCTCAACCTGCATCCATCCATAAACACGTCCGTCCATCCATCCATCCATCCACTCCATCCATCCATCCATCCATCCATCCATCCACTCCAGCCATCCCACCCTGGACACTCCCATCCCTCCAGTCACCCACCCAGCCATCCATCTATCCATTCTCCAGAAACCCATCCATTACTCCATCCCACCCATTCTTCACTTGTTCCATCCATCCTTCCTTCCCATTCTTATTCTGTTCATACCATCCATCCATCACTTACTCCATCCATCCATCCATCCATCCATCCAACCATCCATCTATCCATCCCTTGCTTCCTTCCTGTCTCGCACCCATCCCAACTCAATACATCATCCCACATCCATATCTCTGGCTCTTTCTCCTCACATCACTCCTGGTCTCCACCCCTACCATTCCCATTTCTCATGGACAATCTTGCACCATAATAACATACATACAGACACCAGGAAACCTCCATCCATCCTGGCTTTCCCACATTCATTCAACAATTCATCCACCCATCCACCTCCTGCCAACTATCTGGGCAGGAACCCACCCACCATGCAGTCCGGAATCCACTCAGCCATTCCTTTCTTGATCCATCATGGATGGATCAAGATGGATGATGATGATGATGATGATGATGATGATGATGGATGAAGATGGATGATGATGATCATATCGATGGATGGTGAATGAGAACAACGTTGATGGGTGAAGGTCATTGTTGGGGAATGTTGATGGGGAATGATGAAGAGGATGGGGGATGACGGCAAGTGTTAGTCAATGGGTGGTCGAAGGGTCGATGATAAATTGGATGGTACCGAGTTCAGTGGGTTCTTGACGGTGGGTGGGAATGAGATGGGGATGGGATGCCATGATCAACCCATCACCCTGCCCTTCCCCTTCACCTGTGGTGGCCTCAGTGGAGACGAGTTCGATCCTCTTCCCACCCCGCAGCCCGTAGAGGTGGAAGCGGTACTGGTGGGATGGGGACAGCCCCGGCACAGTCACCCAGCGGGACTCGCCATCCATGGGCAGGGTCTGGGGCTGGCCCTGGGCATCCCGGTATTGCAGCATGAAGAAGTCGAAGGTGCCCTCGGGGATGCTCCACTGCAGCACCACAGAGTTGGGGGTGATGCTGGAGACCCTCAGCTCCCCCAGCACTGCCTGTGCTGGGGGTGCCACACTTGGTTGGGGCTCCTGCTCGTGCTCCTCAGACGGGGAGTCCTCAGCTGGGGGAGCCTCTGAGGGGGAGGCTGGTGCTGTGTGGAGATGGAACGAGGCAGGATGTGGAGATCAACCAACTGCCTGTCTTTCTATCCACCCATCAAGGCCAAATTCAGCCTCCCCTCTGTCCTTCCACACCACCCCTCACCCCTCCTGCCCCACTCACCCAGGGCACAAACCAGCCATGGGCTCATCTCAACCTGCACCCATCCATAAACACGTCCGTCCATCCATCCATCCATCCATCCATCCATCCATCCATCCATCCATCCATCCACCCAGCCATCCCACCCTGGACACTCCCATCCCTCCAGTCACCTACCCAGCCATCCATCTATCCATTCTCCAGAAACCGATCCATTACTCCATCCCACCCATTCTTCACTTGTTCCATCCATCCTTCCTTCCCATTCTTATTCTGTTCATACCATCCATCCATCACTTACTCCATCCATCCATCCCTCCATCCATCCAACCATCCATCTATCCATCCCTTGCTTCCTTCCTGTCTCGCACCCATCCCAACTCAATACATCATCCCACATCCATATCTCTGGCTCTTTCTCCTCACATCACTCCAGGTCTCCACCCTTACCATTCCCATTTCCCATGGACAGTCTTGCACCATAATAACATACATATAGACACCAGGAAACCTCCATCCATCCTGGCTTTCCCACATTCATTCAACAATTCATCCACCCATCCACCTCCTGCCATCCATCTGGGCAGGAACCCACGACCATGCAGTCCGGAATCCACTCAGCCATTCCGTTCTTGATCCATCATGGATGGACGATGATGATGATGATGATGATGATGGATGCAGATGGATGATGATGATCATATCGATGGATGGTGAATGAGAACAACGTTGATGGGTGAAGGTCATTGTGATGATGGGGAATGATGAAGAGGATGGGGGATGATGGCAAGTGTTAGTCAATGGGTGGTCGAAGGGTCGATGATCAATTGGATGTTACCGAGCTCAGTGGGTTCTTGACAGTGGGTGGGAATGAGATGGGGATGGGATGCCATGATCAACCCATCACCCTGCCCTTCCCCTTCACCTGTGGTGGCCTCAGTGGAGATGTGGTGAATCCTCTTCCCACCCCGCAGCCCGTAGAGGTGGAAGCGGTACCGGCGGGACGGGGACAGCCCCGGAACCGTCACCCAGCGGGACTCGCCATCCAACGGCAGGGCCTGGGGCTGGCCCTGGGCATCCCGGTACTGCAGCATGAAGGAGTCGAAGGGGCCCTCGGGGACGCTCCACTGCAGCCCCACGGAGTTGGGGGTGACGCTGGAGACCCTCAGCTCCCCCAGCACCGCTCGTGCCGCGGGCGCTGCACTTGGTTGAGGCTCCTGTTCGTGCTCCTCAGACGGGGAGTCCTCAGCTGGGGGAGCCTCTGAGGGGGAGGCTGGTGCTGTGCGGAGATGGGACAAGGCAGGATGTGGAGATCAACCATCTACCTGTCCTTCTTTCCACCCATTATCTGTCCCACTTCACACAGCCCCCATGTCAGTCCTTCCACCCCCACCCTCCTGCCCCACTCACCCAGGGCACAAACCAGCCATGGGCTCATCCCAACCTGCACCCATCCAAAAACAAGTCTACCCATCTGTCCATTGATCCATCCATTTCATCCATCCAATCCTGGAGACCCCCACCCTCCCATCTATCCATTTGCCACAACCCCATTATTCCATCCCTCCTCTTCTTCGAATGTTCCATCCATCCTTCCTTCCTTCCTTCCTCTTGTTCTGTTCATCCCGTCCATCCTTTCATCCTTCCATCCATCCTTCCATCCTTCCATCCATTCAGGCTTCTTCCACCCACCTACCCACCGGCGCGTTCATTCACTTGTCCTCCATCCACCCAACTCTCCATCCATTCTATCATTGTCCAGTTCTCCCATGATCTTGGTGTTAATCATCACATCCTTCTATTCATGAATCCTCCACTCCTCAACCCACCCGTCCATCCATCGTCCATCTCTGTGTCTATCTTTCTGTCCCTCCTTCTCTCTTCCCAAATTCATCTGTCCAATCCTTCCTCCCTATGCCCTTCCTCCTCACCTGTGGAGACATCGATGGAGACGCGCTCGATCCTCTTCCCACCCCGCAGCCCGTAGAGGTGGAAGCGGTACCGGCGGGACGGGGACAGCCCCGGCACTGTCACCCAGCGGGACTCGCCATCCATGGGCAGGGCCTGGGGTTGGCCCTGGGCATCCCGGTACTGCAGCGTGAAGGAGTCGAAGGGGCCCTCGGGGACGCTCCACTGCAGCCTCACGGAGTTGGGGGTGACGCTGGAGACCCTCAGCTCCCCCAGCACTGCCCGCACTGGGGGCACCTCAGGTGGGGGAGCCTCAATTTTGGGGGGCTCAGGTTGGGGCTTCTCTGCGTGCTGGGGCGCCTCCTCTGGCTCAGCCGGGGCTGTGAAGGATGGGGGATGATCCTGGTCATTGACCATCCATGTCTCCATCCACATGTCCATCCATCAACTATCAGTCATTACTTATCCATCCATCTATCCATGTTTCCATCAGCAATTTCCAAGCTGACATGAAACATCCACTCATCCATTCATGTCTCCATTCATCCATAAGAATCCATTTATCCATTCAGTCAGTCAACCCCCAAACACCAAACCCCACCCAATCCCACACACATCACTTGGGATTGTTCTCCCCACATCCCATTAGGCCTTCCCCCCAACATGCCCCACTTCCATTGGACAATACTCTATTCACTAGGACTTGCATCTGGCCACCAGGAACACTCCCTCCATCCCAGTTGCCCCACAGCCATCCAACCACTCATCCATCCATTGAATGTCATCCCTCCATCTGGGAAGGAACCCACCCACCATCCAGTCCGGAATCCACTCAGCCATTCCATTCCTGATCCATCATGGATGGATGATGATCATGATGATGATGATGGATGAAGATGGATAATGATCATTGTATCGACAGATGGTGAATGAGAATAATGATAATGGGTGAAGATCATTGTGGTGATGGGGAATTATGAAGACGATAGGGGATGATGACAGGTGTTGGTCAATGGGTGGTCAAAGGGTCGATGATCAATTGGATGGTACCGAGCTCAGTGGTTCCTTGACGGCGGGTGGGACTGAGATGGGGATGGGATCCCATGATCAGGCCATCCCACTGGCCTTCCCCCTTACCCGTAGTGGCCTCAGTGGAGATGTGGTGGATCCTCTTCCCGCCCCGCAGCCCGTAGAGGTGGAAGCGGTACTGGCGGGATGGGGACAGCCCCTGCACCGTCACCCAGCGGGACTCGCCATCCATGGGCAGGGCCTGGGGCTGGCCCTGGGCATCCCGGTACTGCAGCATGAAGGAGTCAAAGGGGTCCTTGGGGACGCTCCACTGCAGCCCCACGGAGTTGGGGGTGACGCTGGAGACCCTCAGCTCCCCCAGCACCGCCCGTGCCGGGGGTGCCTCAGGTGGGGGAGTCTTAGTTTGGGGGTGCTCAGGTTGGGGCTCCTCTGAGTGCTGGGGTGGTTCCTCTGGCTCTGCTGTGGCTGTGAAAGAGGGGGAATGGTGATGGGCGTGGCCATCTGTTTGTCCATTCACCTGTCCATGCATCATCTACCAAACCACACATCTGTCCATGATCCATCTCCCCAACCCTCCCATCACGTCTTTTCACTCCTTTTCTCCTTCAGCTCCTTAACTTCTCCCTCCATTGGATCATCCAACCATCAAATCATTGATCTGATCTTCCAAATCACCAAAGAATGCCCTACATATCCATCCACCCATCCATCTACCCATCCACCCACCCACCTATCCATCCATCCCTCCATCCATCCCCTCACCCTCCCAATGCTTATCTCCTCACCCATCATTCCCAAACAAGGGGTGGAATTTGGGACCAGCTGGGAGTGTAGGGATTGGTGATGGATGGATGACGATGGATGATGAGTTAATGATCAAGTAATGATGGTGAATGGATGATGATGATGATGATGGTGGCTGACAGTGGCTGCTGCTCACTAGGCTGGTGGAAGGGTTGATGGTTGACTGGATGGTGCCGGGTTCGGTGGGTGCTCATTAGCCAATAGGGATGCGATGGTGGTGGCATCCCTTGATCCCTGCATTGCTCCATCCCTACCTCTAACCCTCCACCCATCCATCCCTCTTTACATCCCAACTTCCATCTTTCCAACCCTTCCTCCCTCTGACCTTCCCCCTCACCTGTGGAGACATCGATGGAGACGCGCTCGGTCCTCTTCCCACCCCGCAGCCCGTAGAGGTGGAAGCGGTACCGGCGGGACGGGGACAGCCCCGGCACCGTCACCCAGCGGGACTCGCCATCCATGGGCAGGGCCTGGGGCTGGCCCTGGGCATCCCGGTACTGCAGCATGAAGGAGTCAAAGGGGCCCTCGGGGACACTCCACTGCAGCCCCACGGAGCTGGGGGTGACACTGGTGACACGGAGTTCACCCAGGACTGGTTTGGATTGGGGTGGCTCTTCTGCCTCGGCTGCAACTGCAGTGGAGTGGAGACGGTGTGCGCGTGGCAATCCATGTCTCCATCCACATGTCCATCCATCACCCATCATCATCCCTCTCTCCAGCCCTTCCATCACCTTCCCCCCCTTATCCCTCCCTCTCTCCACTGATCCCCTCTTCCTTTCATGTCTCCAACCATCAGTCTCTCCATCCTTCTACCCACCCCCCCTTCAGCCATCACCCCCCTGTCCCCCAATCCCATCTCCCACCCCCCATGGGGTACCTGTTTTCTTCACATCCCTCCGCGGCTCCATCAGCTCCATCCCGTCCGTGTCCCCCCACGGCAGTGCCGGCTCCTGATTCCCATCCTCCCCTTCCCCCACAGCAGGCGTTACTCCTCTTCCACCCCACCTCCTTCATCTCCTTCCCCAGGATGTTCCTTCCCCTGTCCCTCCCCCGTCCTCTTACTTTTCAGATGTCCCTTCTTCCCTGACCACCCCCAATGCCCGAGATGTCCCTTCCCCCATCCTCTTCACCCCTGAACCTCATCCCCCTTCTTCTAGCCCTTCCCCCGTCCCCTTCACCCCTCAACCTCATCCCTCTTCCTCTCCCCCTTCTCCTTCATCCCTCAACCTCATCCCCCTTCTTCTCCCCCTTCACGCCTCAACCTCATCTCCCTCCTTCTCCCCCTTCCCCCATCCCCTTCACACCTCAACCTCATCGCCCTCTTTCTCCCCTGTCCCCTTCATCCCTCAACCTCATCTCCTTTTTCTCCCCCTTCCCCTCCCCTGGTGGTGTCTCTGCCACCACCCCCTGACCCCTCACTGGAGTGTCCCTTTCTCCCCATCCCTGTCCCCCTCCCGTCCCTTCCCCCCAGGATGCCCCTTCCCAACGTCCCCCCACCATTCCCAACGTGTCACCCACCTGTGGTCTCCAGGAGGGTCCCGTCCTCTCGGGGTTTTGGGGGGTGTCCCTGTCCCTTCCCCAGGGCCCGGTGCCGGCGCAGGACATACTCCAGGATGGCCTTGGCCACCGCCGGCACCGTCTGGTTGCCCCGGAGGGGGTAGTTGGTGGCCCGGAGGTGGCTCTCGAGGCGCTGGAGGAGGGACCCTCCGTATGGGGACAGCCGAGCCAGCAGCTCCTGCAGGGAGGGGATCCCTGAGGACAGCGGGGACCAAGGGGACAGTTGGGACCACGGGGACTCCGGGGACACCGGCGACTTTGAGGGTGCCAGGGACTCTGGGGATGGAGGTGACCCTGGGGACACTGGAGACTCTGGGAACCTTGGGGGTTCTGGGGATGCTGGCCACAAATCTGGTGACACCGCTGACCCCAGAGATTCTGGTGACATTGGGGACCTTGGGAATTCTGGTGACACGGGGGACCTTGGGAGCTCTGGTGACACTGGGAACCTTGGAGATTCCGGGGGTGCTGGTGACACCGGTGACCTTGGGAGCTCTGGTGACACCGGGGACCCTGGAGACTCTGGTGACACTGGTGTCCTCGGAGATTCTGGGGATGCTGGTGACATGGGGGACCATGGGAGTTCTGGTGACAATGGTGACCCTGGGAATTCTGGTGACACCGGTGACCTTGGGAGCTCTGGTGACACTGGGGACCTCGGAAATTCTGGGGATTCTGGTGACTCCGGTGACCTGGGGGGTGCTGGGGATCCCAGGGACCCTCGATCCATGGGGGACACTGGGACCCTGGGGGACGCCGGTGACCCCAGAGCCACGTGTGACCCCGGGGACACGTCTGGTGATGCAGGCGATGCTGGTGACCCCGGGGACCCCAGCGACCCTGGGGACCCTCGGGTCGATGGTGCCACCGCTGGGGACCCCAGGGAGCCCTGAGGGGACTTCTCGTGGGGGGGCACAGCGGGGACTAGAGCTGTGGAGTAGAGGGGACCGGGGTCACCGACCCATCCCAAGAGTCCTGTGAGGACACCCCTGTCCCCATTCCCAACCCTGTCCCCATTCCCGACCCTGTCCCCATCCCTGGGCCATCCCCACGCTCTCCCTTTGTGTGTCCCTAGCCCCGTCCCCACGCCTGTCACCCCTGTGCCATTCCCACCCCTGTCCCCACGCCCATGCCACCCCTCTTTCCTTGTCCCCCTGCCGTGCCTGTCTCTATCCCTGTCCCCACCCCCACGGCCGTGCCATCACTGTCCCCAACCCCATTCCTGTGCCATCCTGTCCCTGTCCCGTGCCACGCTGTCCTCACAGCTGTCCCACCCCCACTCCTGTCCCATCCCCAACCCTGTGCCACCCCGTGTCACCCTGTGCCACCCCTGTCCCATCCCCACCCCTGTGCCATTCCCATCCCTGTGCCACCCCTGTGCCACCCCAGCCACAGCCCAGCCACATGTCTGGGCTGTCCCCATCATCCCTGTCTCCCCGACTGTGACACTGTGCCATCCCTGTCCCCACCCCGTCCCCAGGCCACCCCACCCTCTGTCCCTCCCTCCCCACTCCCATCCGCGTCCACACAATGTCCCCATCCCCGCTTCCGTCCCTCCCACACTTGTCCCCCACGGTGTTCCAGTTTCTTCCCGCGGTGTCCCCATTTGTCCCAGGTGTCCCCCCGTGCCACCCCGTGCCCCTCCCCCGCGTGTCCCCACCCGTGCGCAGCCGCAGCGTCCCCGCCGCCCCTAGGTGTGGCCCCCGCCGCGCCTGGACCAGCAACTCGAAGGGGCGGCCTGGGGACAGCCCCGTCACCGAGAAGGCGACAGCGGAGCCTGGCAGTTCGTGCGTCGTCATGGCCATGGGGTCATCCTGGGGACGGCGACAGCGTGAGGGGACCAGGGGGACACCGGGGGGGAAAAGGGGGACACATTGCAGGGACACTTTGCGGACGGGGGGCACTTCGGGGAGGTGTTGGGGACACGCTGGGGACACCACGGGGACACGCAGGGGACATATCTGGGCCAGCCCACCGCAGCCACACGGGCGGTGGAGGGTGGGGGGGGAGTGTCTCACCCCTCCACAATGTCCCTGTACCCCCGTGTCCCCCCCGGCCACGTCCCCCCCGTGTCCCCCACTCACCAGAGGGACAAGTGTCACCCGGTAGCCGTCCGGAGGGGGGGAGGGCCGGGGCCAGGTGACACGCAGGGACGTCGAGGTGCGCGTGGCTAAGCGCGGTGTAACCGCGGGCACCTCTGCAGGGACAGCGCGGGGACACCGTGAGGGCACCGCGGGGGACAGCGCTGGGACAGTGCGGGGGGGCGGAGATGTCCTGGGGACACCCAGGGGACACCCAGGGGATCCCCAGGGACGGGGCACGAGGGGACCCTCGGGGACCCGCTGAGGTGGCTCAAGAGCCCCCCACGGAAGGGGGAAGGAGGGAGAAGCACTGGGGGGGTACTGCGGTGACACTGAGGGGCACTGGGGTGACACTGAGGGGCACTGGGACCCACTAATATTGCCGTGGACCACCCCCCCTCCCCCCCCCACCAGGGGGGACATCCGGGGGGGTTGGAGTCAGGGCACTGGGGAGCAGCTCTGGGAGCACTGGGGAGCAGCTCTGGGAGCACTGGGGGGGGCTCTGGGAGAACTTGGGAGGGCCTCTGGGAGTACTGGGAGGGGGACTCTGGGAGTACTGTGGGGGCACAAGGGGCCACTGGGAGCACTGGGGGGCTCTGGGAACACTGGGAGGGGGGGTTCTGGGAGCACTGGGGGGCTCTGGAAGCACTGGGGGACTCTGGGAGCACTGTGGGGTCACAAGGGGCCACTGGGAGCACTGGGGGCTCTGGGAACACTGGGAGGGGGTTCTGGGAGCACTGGGGGGCTCTGGAAGCACTGGGAGGCAGCTCTGGGAGCACTGGGGGGCTCTGGGCTCACTGGGACGGGGGGCTCTGAGGGCACTGGGAGCGCTGGGAGGCAGCTCTGGGAGCACTGGGAAGCAGCTCTGGGAGCACTGGGAGCACCGGGAGGGGGGAACTGGAAGCATTGAGAGCACTGGGGGGGCTCTGGGAGGCTCTGGGAGGCAGCTCTGGGAGCACTGGGAGGCAGCTCTGGGAGCACTGGGAGCGGGGGACTGGAAGCACTGGGAGGGCTCTGGCAGTTCTGGGAACGCCGCGGGGGCCCCGGGGACGCACCGATGTCGCACCGGACGCCCCCCCATCCGGGGGCGCAGGCGGGGGTGCCGCAGTCGGGCCCCCCGAAGCCCGGGAAGCAGCGGCAGCGGCCCCGCTCACACCGGCCCTGGTCGCTGCAGCCCCGCGGGCACGGGAGTGCGGGGGCGCCGGGGGCGGGGCCGAGGCCGGAGGGGCGGGGCAGGCGCAGCCCCAACCCCGGGAGGGGGCGCAGAGCTGGACCGAGCGGCCTGGGGGGACACGGAGAGGATGAGGGGGAAAGCACACGAGGTTATGACCCCGGGAGTCCCCGACGACCCCCAGTGACCCCCAATGACCTTTGTGAGCCCCCTCCCCAAAAAGGCCCCCGTGACCCTCCCCCGACCCCCAATGAACCCAGGACCCCCAACGACCGCCCAATGACCCCCTGTGACCCCCCCAACGACCCCCGTGACCCTCCCCTGACCTCCCCAATGAACCCCCGTGACCCCTCCCCAAAGACCCCAGGACCCCAACGACCCCCTAAAGAACCCCTCTGACCCCCAACGACCCCTGTGACCCCCCTCAATGACCCCTCCCCATTTCCCCATTACCTGTCCTGGCTCCCCCTCTCCCCTCCCGTCTCCACCCCTCCCTGTTACCTGTCCCCGCTTGTGGCCCTGCCGTGTGCCTCCCGTGTACCCCTCCGTGTCCCCCGTTACCTGTCCCCGCCTGTGGCCCCGCGGTGTCCCCGCAGTGTCCCCGCAGGGCCCGCACGTGTCCCTCGAGCTCGCGCAGCCGGCCCAGCACGGCCGCGAGCGCCGCCGCGCACGACACGGGGGCGTCCTCGTGGGGGCGTCCCCGTGGGGGGGGACACCGCGTGGAGGGGGACACGGCGGAGTGGCCCCCGGCCCGAAGCGCCAGCGCCACGAGCAGCAGCCGCAGCTCCAGCGTCACACACATCGTCCTGAGGGGGACATGATGGGGGACACGATGGGGACACGGGGGGACATGGGGACAACCCCCATGGTGGTGGGAAACATCGTGGAGGGGGCGGACACGAGTGGGGAACCGAGGGGCGCCCACGGGGGGGACACGGGGACACACAGGGAACGTGTGGGGACATTGGGGAGACGGGGGGTGGGGACACTGTGGAGGGAACAGGGGGATATGGGGACACTGGGGGGACACCTGGGGATGTAAGGGGACACGCGGGGGACACAGGGATACCCCGGGGGACACCCGTGAGGGACATGGGGCGTGGGGACACTGGAGGACACCTGGGGGACACCCACTGGGACACCACAGGGGAAGGGGGACACCGGGGGGACACATAGTGGGGACAGGGACATCCGTGGGACACCCACAGGGGACACAGGCAGACACGGGGACAGCTGTGGGGACACCGAGGGGGACACGGGGATAGCTGTGGGGACACGCGAGGCACACAGGGACACCTGTGGGGACACTCGAGGGTCACGGGGACAGCTTGGGGACACACGAGGGACACGGGGACACCTGTGGGGACATCCGAGGGACACGGGGACAGCTGTGGGGACACCGTTGGGGACACAGGGACAGCTGTGGGGACACCCGAGGGACACAGGGACAGCTGTGGGGACATCCGGGGACACCTTCCAGTAACTCCAGTAACACCTCCAGTAAGACCAGTAACACATCCCCGTAACCCCCGCCCTTCTGACCACCAGTAGCAACCCCAGTAACACATCCCAGTAACACCAGTAACATGAGCACCCTCTCCCAGTAACACCAGTAACCCCTTCCAGTAGCACCACTTGCCCCGGCAAGACCAGTTACCCCATTCACTCCAGTGACCCCTCCCAGTGCCCCCCCCAGTCCTCCCAGTCCTCTACAATCCCCCACTGTGCCCACCAGTGTCCCCCAGTTCCCCCAGTCCCTCCGTCCCCTCAGTCCCCCCGTCCCCTCCGTGCCCTCAGTCCCCCCGTCCCCTCCGTGCCCCTCCAGTCCCCCGTCCCCTCCGTGCCCTCCCAGTCCTCCCCCAGTGCCCTCCAGTCCCTCCCTGTTCTCCCAGTCCTTTCAATCTCCTCCCAGTGCCCCCCAGTTCCCCATTCCTCCTCAGGGCCCCCCAGTCCCTCCCAGTTCCTCCAGTTCTCCCCAGTGCCCCCCTCCAGTCCCTCCCAGTTCCACCAGTCTCTCCCAGTGCCTCCCAGTTCTCCCCAGTTGCTGCCTGTCCCTCCAGTGCCCCTCACTGTCCCCAGTTCCCCCAGTTCTCCCAGTCTCCCCAAGTCTCCTCAAGTTCCCCCAGTCACCCCCCGTCCCTCCGAGTCCCTCGCAGTCTCTTCCAGGTCCTCCCCAGTCTCTCCCAGTGCTTCCCAGTTCCCCCAGTCTCCCCAGTTGCCCCCCGTCCCTCGCAGTCCCTTCCAGGTCCCCCCAGTGCCCCCCAGTCCCTCTCAGTTCTCCCAGTCTCCCCAGTTGCCCCCCGTCCCTCGCAGTCCCTTCCAGATCCCCCCAGTCTCCCCCAGTCGCTCCCAGTGCTTCCCAGTGCCCCCAGACTCCCCCAGGGTCTCCCAGTACCTCTGCCTGGTCCCGCTGGGTTCTCGCTCTGGGCCGGGCGGGGTCGCGGGGGAGGGGGCGTGGCCGAGGGTGTAACCGGGGGCGTGGCCTGAGCCCCACCCGCCCCGCCCCCTCCCGGGGAGCTGCCCCCGCCCGTGTTTGGGGCGTCGCCATGGAAACCAAACAGTGCTCTCAGTGCTCCCAGTAAGGAGGTTCAGGATGACCCGCAGCTCCCAGTGACCCCAGTATGGTCAGTCCCAGCGCTCCCAGTAACAGCACAGCCCATTCCAGTGCTCCCAGTAACACCAGTAACACAGCACAGCCCATCCCAGTGCTCCCAGTAAGGCAGCTCAGGATGATCCGCAGCTCCCAGTAATCCCAGTATAGTCAGTCACAGCGCTCCCAGTAACACCAGTGGCACCAGTAAAACAGCACAGCCCATCCCAGTGCTCCCAGTAAGAGCACAGCCCATCCCAGCACTCTCAGTAATACCAGTAACACAGTACAGCCCATCCCAGTGCTCCCAGTAACCCCAGTGTAGTCTGTCCCAGTGCTTTCAGAAACACCACTAATCCCAGTATGACCTGGCCTAGTGCTCCCAGTAACACCAGTAAAGTCTGTCCCAGTGCTCCCAGTAACACCAGTAATGCAGCACAGCCTGACCCATGGCCCCCAGTAACAGTGATGTGGGACAGCCCATCCCACTGCTCCCAGTAGCCCCAGTATACTCTCTCCCAGTGCTCCCAGAAACACCAGTAAGCCCAGTATGGCCTGTCCTAGTGCTCCCAGTAACACCAGTGCACCAGCACAGCCCATCCCAGTGCTCCCAGTGACACCAGTGACGTGGGACAGCCCATTCCAGTGCTCCCAGTAACACCAGTGACATGGGACAGCCCATCCCAGTGCTCCCAGTAACACCAGTGATGTGAGGCAGCCCTTCCCAGTGCTCCCAGTAACATAACACAGCACCCCCAGAGCCCCACTGACACCAGTGACATGGGACAGCCCATCCCAGCGCTCCCAGTAACACCAGTATGGCACATGCCAGTGCTCCCAGTAACACCAGTAATGCAGCACAGCCTGACCCATGGCCCCTAGTAACACCAGTGATGTGGGACAGCCCTTCCCAGTGCTCCCAGTAACACCAGTGTGGCCCATCCCACTGTGCCCAGTGCTCCCAGTAACACCAGTAATGCAGCACAGCCCACCCCAGTGCTCCCAGTAACACCAGTGCCACCTGCCCTACAGCTTCCAGTGCTCCCAGTCATCCCAGTACAGACTATTTCAGTGTTCCCAGTGACATCAGTGACGCGGGACAGCCCTTCCCAATGCTCCCAGTAACACCAGTACAGCCCATCCCAGTGCTCCCAGTAACACAGCACAGCCCCGCCCAGCGCTCCCAGTGCCCCGGTGCGGCCCCTCCCAGTGCTCCCAGTGCGGGTGTGGCCGTGACTCACCGCTCCGGCAGCAACAACAACAGCGGGGGGGAGGGCGCGGGGGGGCCCCCCTGGGACCCCCCAAAGGCTGAGGGGAGGAGGGGGCGGGGGCAGCGCTTTTGGGGGAGCCTCCCCCGCGGCCCTCCCCCACCCGTGTTCACTCCCGTGTCCCCCCCGTGTCCTTCCCGCGTCCCCCTCTACCCGTGTCCACTCCCGTGTCCCCCGTGTCCTTCCCGTGTCCCCCACCCGTGTCCACTCCCGTGTCCTTCCCGTGACCCCCTCGTGTCTCCTCCCTTGTCCCCCACCACGTGTCCCCCTTCCCCCACGCCGTGACCCCCGTGTCCCTCGTGTCTTCCCTTCCCCGTGTCCCCCACGCCGTGACCCCCCGTGTCCCTCCGTGTCTTCCCCTTCCCCCGTGTCCCCCCACGCCGTGACCCCCGTGTCCCCTCCCGTTTCCCTCCGTGTCCCCCTTCCCCCCACCCCGTGTCCCTCCCGTGTCTTCTCATCCCCCCGTGACTCCTCCGTGTCCCCCCACCCCGTGACCACCCCTGTCCCCTCCGTGTTCCCCCGTGTCCCCCTCCTCATTTCCACCTCCCCGTGTCCCTCCGTGTCCCCCAAGCCGTGACCCCCGTGTCTCCTCCCGTGTCCCCCACACCCCGTGACCCCCATGTCCCCCTTCCCTCCACCCTGTGACCCCCGTGTCCCCCCGCCCCCGCCAAGGAATTTTCTCCATCAACACGATGAGCTCATTGGGGGGAGGAGGCGTGGGGGCCCAGCTGGGCGGGGAAGGGGGAGAAGGGGAGGGGCCCCATTGCGGGGGGAGGAACAGGGGTCCCGATTCCACCCCCGCTCCGTTTGTCAATTGATCCGCTGATTTATTGATCCGCTGATTTATCGATTCGCTGATTTATTGATCGATCGATTTTACACGTGGGTCACTGTGTGTCCCCAGTGTCCCCATCCCTGTCCCCAGTGTCCCCCTCCTCATCCCCAATGTCCCCAGTGTCTCCCTCCCCGTCTCCGGTGTCCCCAGAGTCCCCCTCCCCATCCCTGGTGTCCCTGCTGTCCCCTGCAGTGTCCCAGGGGGGTGTCCCCAGCTCCCCGGGCCCCCCCAGCTCCCGCAGCCGCCCCCCCTCCAGCAGGGCCACCCTGGGTGCCCGCCGGGCCAGGGCCACCTGCCCTGTCACCAACAGCACCGCCGGCCCCTCCCCCGCCCCGGGACCACTGAGATGTAGCACCTCCCGCTCCACCTGCGGGGACACGGGGGGACACGGGGGGACACGGCATGGGGAGTCAGGGGACACGGGGACACAGAGAACCAGGGGACATGGGAGGTCCAGGGGACAGGGGGACATGGGGACCCAGGGGACACGGGGACAGCGCTGTGACCCACCTGGCGCCGGGTCACACGGGTCGAGAGCCCGCGTGGGCTCGTCCAGCACCAGCAAGCGGGGGGTCCTGAGCAGGGCCCGGGCCAGGGCCACCCCCTGCGCCTGCCCCCCCGAGAACTGCATCCCCCGCGGGCCCACCTCTGGGGACAGAGGGGACACACTGGGGACACCGTGGGGACACGCTGGGGACACGCCGGGGAGCTGCACCCACCCTGCACCCACCTTTGGGGAGAGGGAGGGGGCAGCGAGGAAACAACAAGGGGACAGTGTGGGGATGATGAGGGGACACTACAGGGATGATGAGGGGACGTTATGGGGACACAGTGGGGACACACTGGGGACACTACGGGGATGGTGAGGGGACACCACAGGGACAGCAAGGGAACAGGGAGGGGAGGGGAGAGAGTGGGATGTGGTGAGGAGGCTTTGGGGACATCACAGGGACAACCTTGGGGACGGTGAGAGGACATTACGGGGATGCTATGGGGACACCCTGGGGACACCACAGGGAAGTGGCGAGGACACCGGGGGGGACACCTGCGCCTTACCCGTGTCATAGCCATGTGGCAGCTGCGTGGCCCAGGCGTGCACCCCCACCCGCCGCGCCGCCGCCGTCACTCGTGTCACCTGTGTCACCTGCGTCCCCTCCCCGTGTCCCCAGCCCAGCGCGATGTTGGCATGGAGGGAGCGGGACAGGAGGGACAGGGACTGCGGGACACCGGCCACCTGTGGGGACAGGGGACATGGGGGGCTGCGGGGGGGGCGTGGGGACGGGGAACATCGGGACGGGGGAGACACAGTGGCAGGAACAAGGAGGGAACGTCTGGGGACACGGGGGGGCCACGGGGACCTGTTGGGGACACAGCGGTGACCCAGGGGTGGCAGCAGAGGACACTGGGGGTGGCCGTGGGGACCCGTGAGGGACAGAGGGTGACGTGGTGGTGACCACGGTGACACAGGGGGAGCCACTGGTGACCCTGGGGTGGCACTGGGGACTCGTTGGGAACCCACTGGAGACCTAGGGGTGGCCACGGAGACCCGCTGATGACCCACTGATGACCCGGGGTGGCCCAGGGGACATGTGGGTGATGCAGGGGTGGCCATGGGAACCTGCTGGGGACCCAGGGGTGACCCGGGCACAGCACTGGGGGCTTGGGGGTGACTCAAGGGTTGGCCCGGGGTGTCACCTTGTCACTGCAAGGCAGGACCTGCCCAGGAGGGCTCAGGGGGTGTTTGGTGACAGAGGGTGGCAGTGGGGACCCGGGGGTGACCTGGGGGTGGCCATAGTGACCCGGGGGTGTCACCTGTCGCCGCAGGGCGGGGTCAGCGCGGGGGCCCAGGGGGGCCCCGTCCAGCAGCACGGCCCCGGCCGCCAGGGGGCGCACTCCCAGCGCGGCCAACGCCAGGGAGCTCTTCCCGCCGCCAGGGGGCGCCAGCACCGCCACGAGCTCCTCGGGACGCACGGACAGAGACACCCCCTGGCGGCGGGAATGGGATGGGATTGGGATCGGGAATGGGATCGAAACAGGAATGGGATCGGACTGTGAATGGGAACAGGCATGGCAATGGGAATGGGGATGGGAACGGGAATGGGACCGGGACCGGGAATGGGAACAGGATCAGACCGAGAATGGGAATGAGATGGGGATTGAACCAGGAATGTGAACGGACCGGGAATGGGATTGGGATCACACTGGAATGGGAACTGCGTGAAAGGGGATGGGATGGGATGGAACAGGGAATGGGATTAGGATGGAACCAGGAATGGGAATGGTGGGAGAGGGGTCAGGACCGAACTGAGAATGGGAATGGGATTGTACTGGGAATGGGAACATACTGGGAATGGGACTGGGAACGGTGGGAGAGGGGATGGAACTGGGAATGGGATTGTACCGGGAATGGGAACGGGATTCTAAGGGAATGGGAACAGGATCGCACTGGGAATGGGAATAGGACTGGGATCCTACAGGGAATGGGAACGGGATTGTACCGGGAATGGGATTGGGATCACACTGGGAATGGGAATGGCGGGAGAGGGGATGGGATTGAACTAGGAATGGGATGGGGATGGAACCGGGAATGGCGGGAGAGGGGATGGGATGGAACTGGGAATGGGACTGGGATGGAACCAGGAATGGGAACAGTGGGAACAGCAGGAGAGGGGATGGGGATGATACTGGGAATGGGATGGGGATGGCACCAGGAATGGGATTGGAATCATACTGGGAATGGTAACGGTGGGAGAGGGGATGGGGATCGCACTGGGAATGGGAACAGCAGGAACAGGGATTGCACCAGGATCAATGGGAGAGGGGATGGCCATGGGAACAATGGGAGATCGCAGTGGGAATGGCAACCTCCCTGGGAATAATGGGGATCACACTGGGAACAAAGGGGATCTCACTGGGAATAATGGAGATCACACTGGGAACAAAGGGGATCATACTGGGAACAAAGGGGATCTCACTGGGAACAAAGGGGATCACACCGGGACAAGGATTGCACCAGGAGAGGGGATCCCACTTGGAATGGGGAGAGCACCAGGATAGGGGATGGCACCAGCACTTCCATGTGAACCCTGTCCCTGTGTCCCCAGCCTGTCCCCTCATGTCCCCCATATCCCCACGGTGTCCTCCCATATCCCCACCCTGTCCCCATGTCCCCCCACACCTCCCATGTCCCCCCACCCCCCATGTCCCCATGTCCCATCCATGTCCCCCCACATCCCCCTATCCCGCTGTGTCCCCCAATATCCCTACCCTGTCTCCATGTCCCCCTACACCCCCATGTCCCATCCGTGTCCCCTCATGTCCCCCACCTCCCCTCCATGTCCTGTGTCCCTCATCTCCCCCATTTCCTTAACACCTCCACATCCCCTCGTGCCCCCATGTCCCCCATCTCCCCCACCTCCCCTCCATGTCCCGTGTCCCTCATCTCCCCATCTTCCTCCACATCCCCTCATGTCCTCCCCATGTCCTATCTGTGTCCCCCCCATGTCCCCATGTCCCATCCGTGTCCCTCCATGTCCCCATGTCCCATCCATGCTCCCCCATGTCCCCATGTCCCATCCATGTCCCCCCATGTCCCATCCATGCCCCCCATGTCCCCATGTCCCCTTGTGTCCCCCTCATGTCCCCATGTCCCACCCATGTCCCCATGTCCCATCCATGTCCCCCCATGTCCCCATGTCCCATCTGTGTCCCCCCATGTCCCATCCATGCCCCCCCATGTCCCATCCATGTCCTCCCATGTCCCCACGTCCCCTCGTGTCCCCCCATGTCCCCCCACACCCCCTCTGTGGTGTCACCTTGAGGACGGGCTCGGCCCGCCCAGGGTAGGTCACGGAGACATCCTCGAGATGCAGTCCCGCCGTCCCGGAGCCCCCCCTGGCCCCCGGGGGTGACAGGGGATGGTGTCCCCAGTACTGCCACCTCCTTGGCCTCGTGCAGCAGCTCCAGGAGTGTCTCAGAGGAGCTGACGGCCTTGGCCAGGACCGGGAGGTGCAACAGCAGCAACTGGGGACACGGGGACACTGGGGGGATTTGAGGGACATGGGGGGAAACGGGGAGATCGGGGGGCTTGGAGGAGCTGGGGGAACATGGGCGTGGGGACAGGGGTGGGGACACAGGGACACGGCACAGACTGGGGACACGGGGACATCAGGGGGGCTTTGAGGGACATGGGGGGACAAAGGGACATTGGGGGGATTTGAGGGGCATGGGGGGACACGGGGACATCGGGGGGCTTGGAGGAGCTGGGGGAACATGGGGGTGGGGACAGGGATGGGGACACAGGGACATGGCAGGGGACGGGGGGACCCAGTGGAGACACGGCAGGTGCACGCTGAGACACAGTGAGGGGACACGGGGAGGACCTGAGGACACAGAGGGGACACAACAGGGTTAGGGTGGGGACAGAGGGGACAGGGATGGGGACATGGCCAGGAGGACACAGGGACACGGCTGGGAGGGCACGGGGACATGGGAGGGGGACATGGGAGGACAGTGACATGGGGAATAATGGGGTTGGGGACACAGTGGGGACATACTGGGAACACAGGGAGGACAGGTTGGGGACACATTGGGAATGGGTTGGGGACACGCTGGGAAGGGGTTGGGGACACAGTGGGAAGGGGTTGGGGACACAGTGGGGACACGCTCCTCACCTCCACAGCCCTGGTGAACTGCAGGTGGCACATGAGGATGGTGACCAGCTCCCCAGGGGTCACGGTCCCCAAAGCCACCAAGTGTCCCCCTCCGAGGAGCAACCCCAGCTTCAGGACCAGCATGGGGAACTGGGGACACAGGGACACACAGGGTCACAGGGTGTCACCCCAGCCCCGTGTCCCCGTGTCCCCCAGTCCCATGCCACCACACCCCTGTGTCCCCAGCCCCTGTCACCACATCTCCCATCCCTGGACCACCCACCTCTGTGTCCCCATGTCCCCTGTCTCCATAACCTCCTGTCCCCATGTCCCCCATCCCCCTGCCACTTCAATCTCATGTCCCCTGTCCCCCATGTCCCTCAGCCCCCTGCCACATGTCCGCCATCCCAGTGCCCCCTTTCCCTGTGTTCCCTGTCCCCGTGTCTCCATCCCCATGCCACTGCATCCAGTGTCCCCCAGCTCCCTGCTGCCATGTCCCCATGTCCCCTGTTACAATGCCACCCTGTCCCCATGACCCCCAGCCCCACGTGCCACCCGTCTTCACATTCCTTGTCTCTGGATCACCACGCCCTCGTGTCCCCCGGCCCTTTGCTGACACACCCAATGTCCCCACACCCGTGTCACCCTGCCCCTTGTCCCCCACCCCTCTGCCACCCTGTCCTCACCCCTGTGTCCCCCTCCCCCACGTCCTCCCCTCCTGTGTCCCCCGTCCCCATGTCCCCCTCCCTCTGTCACCCTGTCCTCGCCCCTGTGTCCCCTCCCCCCAACACGTCCTCCCCTCCTGTGTCCCCCATCTCCGTGTCCCCATGTCCCCTGCCACCCTGTCCTCACCCTGTGTCCCCTCCCCCAACACGTCCTCCCCTCCTGTGTCCCCCATCTCCGTGTCCCCATGTCCCCTGCCACCCTGTCCTCACCCTGTGTCCCCCTACTCACCCCCACGTCCCCCACCCCCGTGTCCCCCTGCCCTGTGTCCCCCATCCCTCTGCCACCAAGTCCTCCGTTTCCAGACTGCTGGTCCTCATCCCCCTGTGTCCCTCGTCCCCATGTCCCCCCCCATGTGTCCCCGACCCCTGTGCCCCCGGGCCCCTGCCACCCTGTCCCAACCCCTGTGTCCCCCCCAACCCCATGTCCTCCACTCATGTGTCCCCCATCCCCATGTACCCCACCCCTCTGCCACCCTGTCCTCACCCCTGAGTCCGCCCCTCACCTCCATGTCCCCCACCCCCGTGTCCCCATCCCTCTGCCACCAAGTCCTCCATTTCCAGACCGCTGGTCTCCAATATCCCATGCCCCCATCCCTGTGTCCCCCCGTGTGTCCCCTCCCCTGTGCCCCCATCCCCGTGTCCCTCCCTGTCTCCCATGTGTCCCCCGTGTGTCCCCATCCCCTCATGCCCCCTGTCTCCCGTGTGTCCCCTGTGTCCCTGTACCCCGCTGGCCCAGAGTGCCACCCCGTACGCCAGGGCCTCCCCGCCGTGTGTCCCCGTCCCCCCGTGCCCCCCGTCCCCGTGTGTCCCCCCAATGTGTCCCCATCTCCCCGTGTTCCCCCCGTGTCCCCGTACCCCGCTGGCCCAGCGTGCCACCCCGTATGCCAGGGCCTCTCTGCTCTCCAGGTGGTGACCGTGGCTCAGGCGCTGCCGGACACGGGTGGTCATTCCGGCTTCGTGGCCGAAGGCCCGGACAGTCCCCAGGGCCCCCAGCGACTCCAGGGCCACTGCGGTGGCACCGGCCAGAGCCTCCTGCGCCCCCCGCGCCAGCTCCTGGGGACATGGGGGACACCACAGGGGTCACCACGGGGGCTCACCACATGGGGTCACCACATGGGGGACACGGCATCACCACGGAGGGTCACCACAGGGGGGACAGGGGGTACCCTGGGGACACAGGGTCACCACAGGGGTCACCACTCGGGGTCACCACGGGGGTCACCACATAGGGTCACCACATGGGGGACACAGTGTCACCACGGGGGGTCACCACACGGGGGATAGGGGGTACCCTGGGGACATGGGGTCACCACGGGGGGTCACCACTGGGGTCACCACACGGGGGACAGTGGGTACCCTGCGTACTCTGGGGACATGGGGGTCACCACAAGGATGGAGGACATGGAGGGTGGACAGGGTGGGGACAGGGAGGGGACAGAGTGGACACCACATGGGGGTCACCACAGGGGTCACCACAGGGGGGACAGTGGGTACCCTCGGGACATGGGGGACAGGGGGGTCACCACAGGGATGGAGGGCATGGAGGGTGGGTACAAGGAGGGGGACAGAGTGGTCACCACAAGGTCATAGGGGGGTCACAGAGAGCACACGGGGGTTACACGGGAGTCACTGCAGGGTCACCACGTGGGATCATGGGGGGGGTCACCCTGGGGACAGGGAGGTCACCTCGAGGTCACCACACGCGCAGATGGGAGGCAGGGAGGGCACAGGGGACAGGAGAGGGTGACAGTGGGCGCAGGGAGGTGACAGCAGGCACCAGGAGGGGACAGGAGGGACTCGGACAGGACGCGGGGAGGGGACAAGCAGCTTTGGGAGGTGACATGGGGCACACAGCGCAGGGAGGTGACCAGGGGTGCAGGGGAGGGGACAAGGGGCCCAGGGAGGTGACATGGGCTGCGAGGAGAGGACAAGAAGAGTGACCGGCGTGGGGCGGGGTGTGCAGGGACAAAGGTACAGGTTACAGAGGGAGGTGACTAAAAGGCTCGGGGGAAGCGCTGAGGGGAAGCCTGGCGAGGACAGGGGGTGCAGGAAGGTGGCACTGGGCACACAGGGGTGACACCCCGGTACCTGCTGGGTGGCGGCCACGCGGTGCGGCAGCAGCAGGAGCAGGGGCAGCAGCAGGAGGGTGCCCAGGGCCAGCAGCGGGGCCAGCGAGCCCATCACGGCCAGCAGAGCCCCTGCCCGGGCCAGCGCCCACAGCGCCGGCACCAGCTCGTCGGCCAGAGCCCCGTGGGCCGCCGCCGCATCCCCCGTCACCCGCGCTGCCACCGCGGCCGGAGTGTCCCCCAGGACGCCCCCCGGGCCGGTCACGTCCCCCCGCAGAACCGCGGCCACCGCGCCGCGCTGGAGCCGCCCCCGAGCCCGGGTCAGCGCCGCGGCCGCCGCTCCGTCACAGCCCAGCTCGGCCAGGGCGCTGCGGGGACAGCGCGGGGTCAGCGGGCACCGCCACCTCCGGGGGTGTCCCCTCCCTGGTCCTATTGTCACCCACCTGCCGAGCCCCAGCGCCACCAAGGGCCACACGGCCGCCCACGCGTCCTCCTCCCGCATCACCCGGTCAGCGACGTGGCCCGTGAAGTAGAGGCCGGCCACCTCACCTGCGGAGAGGGGACACCCCCAGGGTGGGGGGGACAGCCCCCGGCGTGAAGGCGTGCCCCACTTTTTAGGTACCGACCACACTCAAAACGGGGGGTTCAGCCCCGAAATTGGGTGCTGACCCCCCCTGTTGTGGGCTAAGACCCTAAACCCGGGGTTGAACTCCTGAAATTGGGGTCCAGAAAACCCAGAGTTGGGTGTTGACCCCTGAAAATTGGGTGTTGACCCCTGAAAATTGGGTGTTGACCCCTCCTTGCGGGTTAAGACCGTAAACTTGGGGGTTGAACTCCCAAAGCTGGGGTCTGGAAAACCCAAATTTGGGTGTTGACCCCTGAAAATTGGGTCCTGATCCCCCATATTGGGTAATGAGCCCCCAAATTGAGTCCTGCACACCTAAAATTATCTGTAGACCCCTGAAAATTAGGTGTTGAGCCACTAAATTGGGTCTGACTCTCTAAAATTGGGTGTCATCCCCCCAAATTGGGTCCTGACCCTTGAAAATTTGCTCCCAACCTGCCAAAATTGTCTCCAAAATGGGTCCTGACCAGCCAAAAATGTGTTCTGACCCACTCCAAAATTGGTTTCTGGTCCCCCAAAATCGGGCCCTGCCTCTCCAAATTGGGCCCTGTCACCTCCACAAATTGAGACCTGACCCCCCCCAAATTGAGTCTCGACCCCCCGGTTGGGTCCTACCCCCTCAAACTGGGTCCTGCTCCCTCCAATCTGCTCCTGCCCCCCCTAGTCGGGTTCTGTTCCCCCATAAATTGGCTCCTGCCCCCCCCCAAGTCGTGTCCTTCCCTTCCTAAATCGGGTCCTGCCCTGCCCAAATTAGGTCTTTTCCCCCCAGTGGGGTCCTGCCACTCCCTCAGTCGGGTCCTACCCCACTAAAAGTGGGTCCTGCCGCCCCCAGTCAGGCCCTGCCCCCCCCAAATTGAGCCCTGACCGCCCAAATCGGGTCCTGCCCCCCCCTTGAGCCGGAGTCCCCCCATACCGAGGACCGTGGCCGCCATCAGTGTTATAAGTTAGTATAAGAATTTAGACAACTCAATTCCAATTAAACATTGATAAATTTATTAAGCAAGCGATAATAAAGCAAAACAGCGCTGGGTGGCCTGGAGGGTAAGTGCCCTGCTGAGGCACACACCAAAATGTAGTAAATGTTCCTTTTTATACATTTCCAAGTCCCGAGTTTTGAATGCGGCTGCGTTGAGGCTTGAGTTCGTTGCTCATTGTTAAGTGGTCATCTGGTATTTGTCAGAGATAAAAGCTGCAGTTCTTATCAGCTGTAAATTTTACTAGTACTGATACTTGTTTGTTTAGCAAGATGTCTGCAATTATTTTTACTGACGCTTGCTTGATTAACAGGATGTCCATGAAACTTATCTTGTTGAATTGTTGAATTATAACAAAAATTCCTTATTCCTTCATACACATAAGATTTTATGAACAAAGTTAACCCTTCTATTACAATCAGCACCCCTACGAGCACCCACCGCCCGCGCTCGGGGAGCAGCAGGGCCAGGAGCCGCCGGCTGGCGGGGGGCAACATCACGGGGGGGGGCCCGGTCCGGTGCCGGGGGGTCCTGGTTCTGCTTTCAGTGGGTCCTGGTGGGTCCCGGTGGGTCCCGGTCCCCTCCCGGTGGTTCCCGGTTGGTCCTGGTTCTCTTCCCCGTGAGTCCCAGTGGGTCCTGGCTCTGCTTTCAGTGGGTTTCCGTGGGTCCTGGTGGGTCCCGGTCCCGCTCCCGGCAGGTCCCGGTCCCGCTCCCAGTAGGTCCCGGTCCCGGTTGCGTTGTATCCTGATGAGTGCCGGTGTATCCTGACGAGTCCCGGTGTATCCCGATGTACCCCGGTGTATCCCGGTGTACGCCGGTGTATCCCGCTGTATCCCGGTGTACCCCGGTGTTTCCCGCCGGTTCCTCCCGGTCCTTTCCCGGCAGCCGCCGCCGTTTCCCGGAAAGCCGAAGGCTCCGCCCCGGGAATCCCCGGGAATCCCAGGCTGGCCCCGCCCACAGCCCGCCACTGCGGCGCTGATTGGTCAATGTTTCACTGACGTCATCGGTTACCGGGCAGAGGGAGACGGAGCAGGTTGTGAAATGGAGGGGCGGGATCAAAAAGGGGGCGGGGCCTGGGCGGGAGTGGGCGTGGCCTGGGGAGAACGGAGCGTTCTGGGAGCCTGAATTGGGAGCACTGGTGTGGACTGGGGAGCTGGTACAGCTGGACTGGGAGCACTGGTGTGGACTGGGGAGCTGAGGGAGCTGGACTGGGAGCACTGGTGTGGACTGGGGAGCGCTTCGGTCTGTACTGGGAGCACTGGTGTGGACTGGTGAGCTGGCACAGCTGTACTGGGAGCACTGGTGTGGACTGGGGAGCTGGGGAGCTGTACTGGGAGCACTGGTGTGCACTGGGGATCTGGCACAGCTGTACTGGGAGCAGTGGTGCAGACTGGTGAGCTCAGGGGGCTGTACTGGGAGCACTGGTGTGGACTGGGGAGCGCCCCGGTCTGAACTGGGAGCACTGGTGTGGACTGGGGAGTGCCCCGGTCTGAACTGGGAGCACTGGTATGGACTGGGGAGCTCAGGGAGCCATACTGGGAGCACTGGTGTGGACTGGTGAACTCAGGAGTCTGTACTGGGAGCACTGGTGTGCACTGGTGAGCTGGCACAGCTGTACTGGGAGCACTGGTGTGGACTGGTGAGCTCAGGGGTCCATGCTGGGAGATACTGGTGTGGACTGGGGAGCTGAAGGGCTGTACTGGGAGCACTGATTTCTACTCATGAGCACTGTAGTCTGTACTGGGAGCACTGGTTTAGACTGGTTAGCTCAGGAGGCTTTACTGGGAGCACTGGTGTGGACTGGGGAGTGGCCCAGTCTGTACTGGGAGCACTGGTGTGGACTGGGGAGCTGAGGGGGCTGGTGTGGACTGGGGAGCTGAGGGAGCTGGACTGGGAGCACTGGCGTGGACTGGGGAGCTGAGGGAGTTGGTCTGGGAGCACTGGTGTGGACTGGGGAGCACCCAAACCCTAACTGGTGTTAACTGGTGAGTTCACAGGGTGCTGAACCCCAGTGCAGGAGCCGCACTGGGACCCCCACTGGGAAGCATACTGGGAGCCCCACTGGGAGCTGTACTGGGATCCCCACTGGGAGCTGTACTGGGATCCCCACCAGGAGCTGTACTGGGATCTGTACTGGGAGCTGTACTGGGACCCCCACTGGGATCCCCAACAGGAGCCCTACTGGGAGCCGTACTGGGAGCTGTACTGGGAGCCCGACCAGGAGCTGTACTGGGATCCCCCCTGGGAGCTGTACTGGGAACCATACCAGGACCCCAACCAGGAGCCATACTGGGAGCCCCAGCAGGAACCATACCGGGAGCCTTACTGGGAGCCCTACTGGGAACCCCACTGAAAGCCACACCAGGAGCCACACCAGGAGCTGTACTGGGAGCCATACCGGGACTCATACTGGGAGCACTGGTCCTCGCCAATCCCCCCATGGCGCTGCCTCCCTCCCTGCTGCTCCTGGGGGCGCTGCTGGCGGCCGATGCCCTGGACCTGTCCTTACTGGGCCCGCTGGTGCCGGAGCTGGCGTGGCTGGGCCTGGCAGGCGCGTGGCTCGAGGCTGCCCTGCGCCTGCCCCTCCTGGCTGCAGCCAGGTGGGTCATGGCGTTCTCAGTGTCCCCATGTCCCCAGTGTCCCCAGCGTCCCTGATGTCCCCGTGTCCCCACAGCGTCCTGTTCTCCGGGTGCCACGGGTGGCTCTTCCTGCTGGCGGCGGTGCGTCTCCGGCAGAGCCTGCACCTCCAACTCTTCTCCCACCTGCTGCACCAGGACCTGGATTTCTTCCAGGGAATGCCAGCAGGTAACGGGGCGTGGCTCAGGCCGGTGCCATCCCATCATCCCATCCCGTCACGCCAGTCCCCATCCCAGCATTCCATCCTTTCCCTGTCATCCTGTTACCTGAGTCCCCATCCCATCCCACCATCCCATCCCACCATCCTATCCCATCACTCCAGTCCCCATCCTCCCATTCCACGCTTTCCCTGTCATCCTGTTAGCCGAGTCTCCATCCCATCATACCCCACCCATTCATCCTTCCCATCCCATCCCATTATTCCAGTTCCCATCCCACCATTCCATCCTTTCCCTGTCATTCTGTTACCCTAATCCCCATCCCATCCTATCCCACCTCTCCATTATCTCATCCCACCATCCCATCCCCGTCATTCCTGTAATAGAAGGGTTAACTTTGTTCATAAAATCTTATGTGTATGAGGGAATAAGGAATTGTTGTTATAATTCAACAAGATAAGTTTCATGGACATCCTGTTAATCAAGCAAGCGTCAGTAAAAATAATTGCAGGCATCTTGCTAAACAAACAAGTATCAGTATCAGTAAAATTTACAACTGATAAGAAACTGCACCTTTCATCTCTGACAAATGCCAGATGACTACTTAACAATGAGCCACGAACTCAAGCCTCAATGCAGCCACATTCAAAGCTCGGAACTTGGAAATGTATAAAAAGGAACACTTACTACATTTTATGTGTGTCTCGGCAGGGCACTTGCCCTCCAGGCCACCCAGCACTGTTTTGCTTTATTATCGCTTGCTTAATAAATTTATCAATGTTTAATTGGAATTGAGTTGTCTAAATTCTTATACTAACTTATAACAATTCCCATCCCACCATCCCATCCCTTTCCATCCTATCCCATTTCCCTGGTCCCGTTCCCACTATCCTGATCCCACTATCCCATCGCACTGTCCTGTCCTTATTCTCACTCCCATCCCAACTGTCCCATCCCCATCAATCCATTCCAACCACTCCCGTTCCCACCATCCTCTTTCCCATCCCATCCCACCCGTCATCCCATCCTGCCATCCCATTCCATCTCCTGACCTTCATCCTATCACCCCATTCCCACCATCCCAATCCCACCTGTCCCATCTTTCCCCACCATTCCCATCCTTGTGTCCATGATCCCAACCTCCCTTCCCACCCTGCAGCCGAGCTGTCAGCACGGTTCTCCGCGGAGGTGCCGCTGGTGTCCATGGCGGTGCCGAGGGGGACCAACCTGCTGCTCCGGAGCCTGGGAATGGCTCTGGTGGAGGGCATGGCCATGATCCGGCTGGTGCCGGGGCTGGCATTGCTGGCGCTGCTGGAGCTGCCCCTTGGGATCACCGCCCAGCGCATCCACAGCACCCGGAGATGGGTCGGGAACACGGGACGGGATGGGCGGGAGGGGGGTAACGGGGTGGGAATGGCAGGGTGGGATGGAGAGTGGGGGAAGGGGATGGTGGGGATGGGAATAGGATGGTGGGGATAGGAATGGTGGGATGGGGTGAGATGGGATGGGATGAACGGGATGGTGAGGATGGGATGGGATGGGATGGGATGGGGCAGGACGGGACGGGATGGGATGAGATGGGATGGGATGGGATGGGATGGGATGGGATGGGATGAAGAGCAGGGGAATGGAATGGTGGGGATGGGAATGGTGGAATGGGATGAGGTGGGATGGGATGGGACGGGGTGTATAGGATGGGGATGGTGGGAATGCTGGGGATGGAGCAGGATGGAGTGATGGGGATGGGATGGGATGGGATGGGATTGGTGGGGATGGGATGGGATGGGATGGGATGGCCAAGATGGGAGAGAGAGCAGGATCGTGTGACAGGGGATGGGATGGGTTAGGATGGATGGGATAGGATGGGATGGTGGGAATGCTGGCATGGGGACAGGATGGAAGGGTGGGATGGGGACAGAGGGATGGGGTGGAATAGGATGAGATGGTGGAATGGGGTGTGTGTCAGGGTATGAGCCAGTGGAGACAGGATGGGGATAACTGGGAAGAGACTGCATGGAATTGGTGGATTTGGGAGTGGTGGGATGAGGCCATGGAGATGGGACAGAATGGTGGGATGGGATGGGATGGGGATGGTGGGGATGGTGGGGGTGGGAATGCTGGGATGAGGGAGGACCAGGGTGATGGGAGCATGGGATGGGATGGGATGGGATGGAGACAGGATGGGGCAGTGGGGACAGGACAGTGGAATGAGAAAAGAGGGATGGGATGGGAATGGTGGGGATGGGATGGGACGGAACAGGATGGGATGGGATGGGATGGGATGGGATGGGATGGGATGGGATGGGATGGGATGGGATGGGATGGGATGGGATGGGATGGGATGGGATGGGATGGGATGGCTGGATGGGGATCAGAGAGATGGGACTGGGGAAGGTGACCAGAGGAATGGGATGTTGGGAATGTGAATGGTGGGGATGGGACAGTGAAAATGAGGACTTTGGGAGGGGGACTGGGAGATGGGATGGGATGGGATGGGATGGGATGGGATGGGATGGGATGGGATGGGATGGGATGGGATGGGAATGGTGGGGATGGGATGTGGACGGTGGGCCAGGAAGGTAGTCTGGGAAAGCTGAGAATCTGCCTGTGGCTCCACAGGCTCTGCAGCGCTCCATGCTGGAAGCATCCACCCGGACGGCCTCGGGGTGCAGGAATTTGTTGCTGTCTTGGAGATGATCTGGATCTTCTCGGCAGAGGAGGAGGAGGAGGAGCGGCACGGCTGGAACCTGGACGAGGAGCTGAGGCTGAAGGAGCGGATGGAGCTGGAGCTGGCGGGATTCACTCTCATCCAGAGGGTCAGGGGAAAACGGGAGTGGCAACACCGGGAATGGGAACACTACTGGGATGGGGGTGCTGGAAGCAGGGTGGGGACACTGGGATGGGGACATCAGGATCAGGGATGGGGACACTGGGAAGAGGAATGGGAAGACAAGAACAGGGAACACTGGGATCAGGGATGGGGACACCGGGAATGGGAATGCCAACACCAGAAGCAGAATGGGGACTCTGGGACAAGGGATGGGAACACCAGGATCAGGAATGGGGACACCAGGAAAGGAAGTGGGGGGAGTGGGGACAGGGATGGGGATACCAAGAGGAGTTAAGGAGACAATGGGAATGGGGACGCCGGGAGCGGGATTGGGAACACCGAGACTGTGATGGGGACACCAGGAGCGAGAATGGGGACACCAGGACTGGGCTGGGGACACTGAGACTGGGATGGGGACACCAGGAAAGGAAGTGGGGGGAGTGGGGATAGGGATGGGGATACCAAGAGCAGTCATGGAGACAAGGGGAATGGGGACACCAGGACCGGGCTGGGGACACCAGGACTGGGATGGGGACACCGAGACTGGAATGGGGACACCAGGAGCAGGAATGGAGACACTGGGACTGGGATGGGGACACCAGGACTGGGATGGGGACACCAGTATCCATGTTACCACCTGCAGATGCTCCAGCTGGCCATCCGGGTCCTGGTGCTCTTCCAGAGCCACCAGCAGCTCCGAGATGGATCCATCACTCCGGGGGTGCTCGTCACCTTCCTGCTGTACCAGGACACGGTTGGCCACCATGTCAAGGTGATCCCATGGAATCCACGTGTTCGTCCATCCATGCCCTGTTCCCAGTCCCTGCTGGTGCCACCCCCTCCCCTCCCCCACAGGTGCTGCTCTTCGTCTTCAACGACTTCACCACCAACGTGGCTGCCGGGCAGAAAATCTGGGAATACCTGGATCAGAAACCTGCCAGGCACACTGGGGGGACGCTGGAGCCCCCCAAGCTCCAGGGCCACGTCGCCTTCCGGAGGGTCTCCTTCACCTATCCCAGAAATCCCGAGCGCCCCGTGCTGAGGGTGGGTCTGCGGTGGGGAGGGTGGGGATTCCCAGGAGTGGGAATTGAGGTGTCAACCGTCCCCTATCCTGCAGGATGTGTCCTTTGAGGGTATCCTGGGGAGGTGACGGCGCTGGCAGGGCCCAACGGGAGTGGGAAGAGCACGGCCGTGGCGCTGCTGGAGCGGCTGCGGGATCCCGGGAGCGGGGAGGTGCTGCTGGACAGGATCCCCCTGCAGGAATTCGAGCAATGCTACCTGCATCGGCAGGTGGGGGCAGCAGGGATGGGATGGGAACACCAGGAATGGGGTGGGGTGGGATAGGGATGGGATGGGATGGGATGGGATGGGATGGGATGGGATGGGATGGGATGGGATGGGATGGGATGGGATGGGATGGGATGGGATGGGATGGAGTGGGATGGGGTGGAACAGGATGGGGTGGGATGGGATGGGATGGGATGGATGGGATGGGGTGGGGTGGGATGGGATAGAGACAGCGGGGACGGGTATGGGTGGTGAAGTGGAATTGGGAACTGGGAGACAGGGGTGGGGGCACTGGGAAAAGGGGGGGGGACACCAGGGACGGGATGGGGACACTGATCTGGGATAGGGACACTGAGGTGGGATAGGGACACTGGGTACAGGGACAGTAGGAACAAAGATGGGGACACCAGGAACAGGGTAAGGACACTGAGGTGGGATGGGGACACTGAGGTGGGATGAGGACACTGAGGTGGGATGGGGACACTGGGTACAGGGATAGAGACAACAGGGACAGGTTGGCGACATTCATGTGGGATGGGGACATTGAGGTGGGATAGGGACAGTGGGTACAGGGATGGGGACAGTAGGAACAAGGATGGGGGTATCAGGTGTAGGAATGGGGACACTGGGAAATAGGATTGGGAACATCAAGGGATGGGGTTAGGGACAGTGGGATTAGGGATGGAGACACAGTGGGCACAGCGATGGGGACACCCCCCAAGATTGGAGTCGGGCTGTGGAACAGGGATGGGGACACCCCCAAGACTGGGATCGGGCCGTGGAACAGGGGTGGGGACACCAAGGAGCTGGGACAGCTCACGGGCTTGGGGCCGGGGCAGGTGGTGCTGGTGGAGCAGGATCCCATCCTGTTTTCTGGAACAATCCGTGAGAACGTCGTGCTGGGGCTGGAGGGCTGTGAGGAGTCAGAGCTGCGGGAAGCGGCCGCTGCTGCTGGAGCCTTGGAGTTCATCCAGGGGCTGGAGCAGGGCTGGGACACCAGGGGAGAATCCCGGAGGAATCCTGGGGCCAGGGGCTGCATCCAGGGGCTGGAGTGGGACTGGGACACCAGTGGGATCTGGGGGCACAGGGGGCACCCCTGGAATGGATCCTGAAGATTTTGGGATCCTCTGGCAGAGGTGGGTGAGCTGGTAGGGGGGACAGGACTGGCAGTGGGAAGTGGGGGGGGACACTGCAGGTCTGGATCCCCCTGATCCCATGGGATCCCCTGCAGAGGTGGGCGAGCCGGAGGAGGGGGGATGGGACTGGAAGTGGGATGTGTGGGGGGGGACCCCGGGTCTGGATCCCCCTGATCCCATGGGATCCCCCCAGAGGTGGGAGAGCATGGGGGGCAGCTGGCGGCAGGCGAGAGGTGTCTCCTGGCCCTGGCCCAGGCCCTGCTCCGCCGTCCCACCGTCCTCATCCTCGACAAGGTGCTGAATGAGGGAGACAAGGGTGTGGTGAGTGGGGTGGGGACGTGAGGGGGTTGGGATGGGGTGGGAACGATGGGATGGGGGCAAAGGGGTGGGGTGGGGTGGGGTGGGAAATAGGGAATGGGAGTTGGGGGTGGGGGAAGAGTGTGGGGAAATGGGACGAGATGGTGGGATGGGAATGGGGAGGATGGGGTGGAAACCAGGGGGTGTAGGATGGTGGGAAGTTGAGGTGAATGGATGGAAACGATGGGATGGGATGGGATGGGATGGGAGGGGAGGGGAATGGTGAGGTTGAGAATGTTGGGATGAGGAGAGAGTGATGGAATGGGATGGGAGGGGTTGGGGTGGTGGGAATGGGGTGAGATGGGACAGTGGGGATGGGGACAGTGGGGACAGGACAGGATAGTGGTGGGGGGATGGGATAGAGAACAGGGTGGTGATGGGGTGGGGTGGGGTGGGATGGGGTGGGATGGGGTGGGACAGGGATGGGATGGGATGGACCAGGATGGGGTGGGATGGGATGTGACAGGGTGGGACAGGATGGGCTGGGATGGGCTCAGCTCTCCCCGCTCCAGGCGCAGCACTGGGTGCGGGATGGGATGGTGTGGGACAGGGTGGGATGGGATGAGAGCGGGGCAGGGTGGAACAGGATGGGCTGGCATGGGGTGGGACAGGGATGAGATGGGATGGGACAGAGTGGGAAGGGGTGAGACAGGGATGGGATGGGATGGGACAGAGTGGGAAGGAGTGGGAGAGGGATGGGATGGGATGGGGATGGGATGGAGATGGGGGATGTGGATGGGATGGGATGGACGGATGAGCGTGGCATGGGGACAGGGCTGGCCGGGCCGGGCTCAGCTCTCCTGCTCCAGGCACAGCACTGAGTGTCGGATGGGATGGGAAGGGATGGGATGGGATGGGATGGGATGGGATGGGATGGGATGGGATGGGATGGGATGGGATGGGATGGGATGGGATGGGACGGTTGGGACGGGATGGGATGGTTGGGATGGGACAGGACAGACTGGGCCAGGCTCAGCTCTCCCATTCCAGGTGTAGCACTGGGTGTGGGATGGGGTGGGACAGTGATGGGACGGGATGGGATCCGGTCTCCCCGCTCCAGGTGCAGCGCTGGGTGCATGCTGGCCTGGCACGGAAGGTGCTGGTGGTGTCGCACTGGCAGCGGGTGCTGGACGGGGCCGATCGGCTGGTGCTGCTGGAGGGCGGGACCGTGGCCGAGCAGGGAACGCCGGCGGAGCTGCGGGAGCGCCGCGGCGCCTACAGCCGCCTGCTCCAGGGGGGAGGAGACAGGGAATAAAGGGCCGTTGGTGTCCCCATTCCCGGTGTTGGTGTCCCATCCTCGTGTCCTGTGGGTCCCTCACCCCCCTCCACCCATCCCCTGGATCCCCCCTCCCCGTATCCCTTTGATTCTACTCCCCAGTTCCACTGGGGATGGGAAGCAGGGATGGGTGAGTGAAGTGCTCGATTTCCAGCTGGGCTTAAAACCCCAGTGGTGGAGACATGAGGGACACATGGTGGGCAGGGACACGGGGGACACATGGTAGGCAGGGACACATGGTGGGCAGGGACATGAGGGACATGTGGTGGGCAGGGACACGGGGGCCAAAGTAAACCTTGTGCATTTAATAACTTGTAAATAAAGTAAAATGCAATAATAATGGCAAATGATGATGATAGTAATGATGATAAAAAGAGATGCAACTGCTCACCACCTGCAGGCTGATGGCAAACCCCTCTGCCCACACCCACAGAGGCCCCTTCCACACAGCTGCCCCCCGTTTAATCTTCCAGGAGATGGGATCTCCGATGGAACAGGAGCCCCTCCCTCCCAGACTTAACTGTAAATCTGAAAATGTGACACTTAACGAGCAAGGTGTGGAAAGGAAATAACGATTTACTAAAAACAGGGAACCAACCAGAACTGTCGTGTTTCAAGGGGGCTGAACTTTCGGGAACAGGAGGGCCGTGGAGGTGATTTTGGTCAGAAGCTTTTACGAGCAGCTTTTGCTGTTCCATAAAAACCCAAGGATGGCCAGCTCCAGGGTGGGCTTCCTACTACTTCCAGCCAGTGGCATTCACTCCTGTGATAACATATTGAAGAACTCAGGAAGAGAATTCTGTGGCACAGAAGAAATTCCAGCTGGGGAGGAGAGCAGAGGAGAACATGAGATAGGAATGGAGACTCCAAGGCCGGTGTGGCAGGAGAGGGGAGGAGGAGAGGCCCAGAAAGCCCTCCCTCTCCCCTTCCAGCAGGGGAAGGACTGAAAGCCGAGCCCCCCTGATGCCTGTGGAAGATTTTGGGGTGAGGAGACCCCTCTCTGCAGCTCATGGAGGAGCCTGCACTGGGGCAGGGGGATGCAGGAGGAAGCTGAGACTCCGTGGGAGGCCTGAGATAAAACAGAGTCCTGCTGGAGACCTGTGGCCCGTGGAGAGAGAAACCTGTGCTGGGGTGAGTTGTCCTGGATAGGACTCGTGGCCCTGTGGGGGAATCCACGCTGGTGAAACTTATTTATGCCCTGAGGGACAGCAGATGATGGAAGAACTGCTGCCTGAGGGATGGGCTGTGATGGTTTGGACCTGGCTCCTTCCCAATGCCCAAACTCACAGTGACAACCCCTTCCCCCTCCCTTTCTCCCTTGGGACAAAGGAAAAAAAACTATAAAAAAACCCCTGAAATCAATTTAATTATATAAAAATAAATATTTTTACATATATTATAGTTATACACAATTAAGACGCTGCGTACACAGCACAGGGAATCCAAACACCCCTTGGAGGCAAAGGAGAAAAAAGGGACAAAAAGGGAAAAAACCAGAACAGATACGCACAATCAAAGCCAAGAACCGGCAAAATAAAGAACCAGCAAACCAAATCTCACCACGTCCCTCAGAGAAAATAAGATCAGCAGACACGGCCAGCACTCTCCAAATCTCCCACGTGGCAGAGCAGCTGTCACTGCGGACATTTCACGGTCATCTTGTTGCCCAAAAGAGTGGAAGGAACCTTCTAATACCCCTTTTCAGTACTGATACTTAATTTACAGCATTTCCAAAGCAGGAACATGGAGTTAACAGAGGTGCTATAGCAGTTTTATATACTAAAATATCTGCCATTCCATCTTCTGTTACACCCACCCCCCAGAAACTGCCAGTCCCACCGGACGTCCCTCAGACTCCCCTCCCAGAACTGAGCCCCTGGTCACAAAAAAAATCAAAAAAACCCCACCCCTTCCTCCTCCTCCTCCTCTTCATCATCATGGGGGAGACACTGGGATGGACTGGGGGGCACTGGGAGAGACGGAGGAGACACTTGGATGGGCTGGGGGCACTGGGAGAGACGGGGGAGATACTGGGGTGGACTGGGGGGCACTGGGAGAGAAGGGACGGCGGGGGGGGGACACTGAGAATGAACAAATAGGGACGGGGAATGGACTGGAAGGGAATGGTGGAAAGGACTGGCTGGGACTGGGAATTCAGTGCTCTGGGTCTCTGTCCCAGTTTAAATGAGACCCAGGTGTTTTGCTGAATACGAGTTATGAGGAAGACCCAAAACTCCTCCCTCTAAGCAATTGTAAATCCAAAATTAAGAGGCTCTGATTGAAGGGAAAACACGTGGAAAGGGGAAAAAAATGTGGAAAAGGGAAAAAATAACAGCCCTCTATTTAAAGATATCTGTGCATTGGAAGAAACGACGAAAGGAAACAAGTAAAACAACCAAACAATATTCCTATAACCACAAACCAATAAACAAACACAGGAAAAAAAAATATCCCAGCAGAACCCACAGCTGACAGAGCCATGCTGAGAACAAAAACCCACTCAGAGCTTCTACTCCGACCTTGTTCCAGCTTCAGCAGCCACCTGAACTCCTCCCCCCTTTTTCCCAGGAGAGGAGAGGGGAAAAAAAAACCTCTCCCCCTTCCCCAAAAGTAAAATTCTGAGGGCCATTAACTGGGAATGTGGCCTCACCGGCAGCTTCTTTGGTGCTCCTTAACTGCCCACTTAACTTTCCCTCCACGCAGTGGGCACAGTGGGCGGTGAAGGAAGGGAAAAATATCCTGCTTAGTTATGAGGCTGAGTTTTTGGGTAGAGGGGGCCTTTTTCCACCCCCCCTCCCCATTCCCCCTGGGAGCAGGGGGAAAAGACTTGGAGCTGAAGCAGATCAGGAAGAGCTGCAGCCCCAGGGAGGAACTCCAGCAGGGACTGTCTCCCATGGGAAGGGATCCCACGGAAACAGGGGAAGGACTCAGAGCCATTTTACCCACCCCAGCCCGTGGTGAAAGCTCTGGTAATGCAGACCACAGAGGACCATCCTGCACCCCGTGGAAAGCAACTTTTTTAGCTTTTATCCTGTTGGCAATGAATTTAAGTTGTATTCCCTACGTTGAGTCTGTTTTGCCCGCTGGTAAATGACTGTGTCCCACTTCCTATCTCTGCTCACGAATTCTTTAACGGGTTTTTTTTTTCTCCCCCTCCTCCTCTGCCAAGCTGGAGAGGGGAGGGTGAGCTAAACCCACTACAGAGGACACGGGTAAGTCCTTGGAAAATTGTCCAGGAATTTGCTCCGATGCCATGGAAGTTCACCCTGGAACAACCCCAGGACCCTCAACGCGATCTATGGAGTGGCAGTTTTTCTTCCCGTGGGTGTTCACAGGGGACAAAGCTTTGATGGCCCCAACCCAGGGCAGTGATAGAGGGGCCCTGCCCCCAGTCAGCATCCTGGACCCCACGGTGCCCTGGGTGGGTTTTGGGGGGGTGTTCCCCCCCGGGGGGGTGTTGCCCCCCCCCCCCCCGATCTCCCAGTTGCCCCTCTCCCCCCAGTGGGCCAGCACACCCATCATTTGACCCCATAAAACCTCCCAGTTTCCCCACACTGAGCATCCCAATTGCCCACCCAGATCTCCCAGTTGCCACTCCTGCTGCTCCAGCCCCTCTCCCACCCCTCAGATTTGGAGTGAGAGGGGGAGGGGCAAGGTCATGACCCCCTCTCCCCCAGCCTCTTCTGGGGGCTTCCCAGTAAAACCAGTGGAGAGAAACAGGGAGGAGCCATTAAGGTGGGGGAGGGGAGGGGCATGAGAACCTTTTATTGGGGTGGGGGAGGGGTTGGAAACCCCTTTGGGGGTGGGGAAGGGGCTCAGAACTGCTTTTACCCGGTGAAGGAGGGGGCGGGGCTGGTCAGGAGGGGGAGTCCCCTCTTTGGGGGTTTCCCCACTTGGGGGACTCTCCTCCCCCTCTCCCTCCCCTCCTCCGGCCCCTCCCTCTCCTCTGGCCCCTCCCCTCCCGCTCCATCCGCTCCCGGTAATTCCTCTGGAAAAAGCCGCACTGTGGGGGAGGGGCAGGGTAAGAATAGGGGGAGGGTGCGCCCAAAGTGGGGTTCACCCCTCCCCACCCCACGCCCCTCCCCCACCTCACCTTGGCGAGACCGAGGACAATGAGGAGGAGGAGCAGCAACCCCCCACCCCTCCCCACATAGCTGGGCAGGGGGTTCACTTCCCACAGCAGCTCGACCTCCGTGACCCCCTAAAATGTGGGGAGGGGTCGAGGTCAGGTGGGGGAGGGGCTGCCCCATAAATTGGGAGAGCCCCTCCCCACATTGACCTCCGAGAGGAAGAATCAGGGTGTGGCTTCCAAATAAGCCCCTCCCCACCCCAGAGCCCCTCCTTCTATAGTCCCTCCCTTATCCCAGGGCCCCTCCCTCAACTGACCCTCCCCACCCCAGAGCACTTCCCTCTATTGACCCTCCCCACCCCAGAGCCCCTCCCTCTACAGACTCTCCCCCACTCCAGAGCCCCTCCTCTCTAGACCCTTCCTCAACCCAGAGACCCTCCCTCTATTGGCCTCTCCTCCCAGCCCCTCTCCCACTCCCAGAGCCCCTCCCCACCCAGGGACCCCTCCCTCTCTAGACCCTCCCCAATCCAGAGCCCCTCCCCACGCCCCACCATTACCTGGGCTCTGAGCAATTGGGGCGTGGCCTCCACAAAGGGCGGGGCCAGTGCGAGCCAGAGGGTGGAGCAAAAGCGGGAGTGGGCGGGCCCTGCGGTGGGGGGAAGAGGGGTTACAGAGGGGGAGAGGCTTTAGGGGGTGGGGAGGGGCGAGGTGTACCTGGCTGTGGGGGAGGGGCCTCAGGGCAGCGCTGACCGTGACTTCCACGGTGACCCCTGGGGTCAGCAGGGTGGGGGGGCAGCGGAACAGCCTCAGGTGGGGGGTGGAGCAGGTCTGGGGAGGGACTCCAAAATTAGGGCCCTGCCCCTCCCCCACCATGGTGGGGGGACGACACTCCAAGACCCCACAACTGTGGGACCCCCCAGAGGACCCCCACGGTGGGGTCTACCTGCCTCGGAATGCCCCTTTATGGGGGTCCCCCCCCAAAAAACTCCCAATATTGGGGTGTCCCCCCAAAAAAAACCTTCCCCCTCACCTGGGTGATGCTCCTGTTCAGGTCCCGCCCCACAGAGCCCCCCAAATGTGGCTCCACGGGGTCACAGAGGACCCCCGGATCCTGCACAGAAAAGTGGTGAGTCGGAGGGGGCAGAGGGGGATTTGGGGGGAGGAATTGGGGTTAAGGGGGAAGCAGAGGGGCAGGAAGGGATTTGGGGGGTCAGGAGGGAATTTTTGGGGGATTTGGGGTTAAGGGTGGAGCGGAGGGGCAGGAAGGGCTTTTGGGGGAGAGGAGTCGGGGGATTTGGGGTTCAGGAGTGGAGCTCAGGGGTAGGAAAGACTTTTGGGGGCAGGAGGGATTGGGGGATTTGGGGTTCAGGGGGAGCGGAGGGGTAGGAAGGACTTTTGAGGGGCAGAAGGGAGTTGGAGGGATGAGGGTCTTGGTTGGGGGCTAGGGGGTGAGTTGGGGGGGCAGGGACGGGGGCTCAGTAAGGGCAGGGGGATTTGGTTTTAGGGTGGAGCTGGGGGTAGGAAGGGCTTTTGGGGGGCAGGAGAGAGTCAGGGGGACAGGGGTGAGTTGGGGGGTAGGGGGTGGGGGGCAGGGATGGGGGGTCAGTAAGGGAAGGGGAAATTTGAGGGGGAAATTGGGGGGATATGGAGTCCCTCAACAGGGGTTGAGTTGGGGGGCAGGGGTTGAGTTGGGGGGATTGAGGGGGTCCTGTCCCCTGTATCTGGGGGGAGGAGGGGCTCAGTGGGACACCCCACGGGGGGCAGACCCCCCTCAAGCCCCCCCATTCACTCACCACATGCACTCGTGGAGCATCCACGGCCACGCCGTGGGGCAGCGTGAGGTGGGGCAGGAGCACGAAGGGCCTCGCCCACGGCTTGGGGCTGCCTGGGGTGGGGGCGTGGAGGAGCTCCAGCTGTGGGAGTTGGGGGGACACAGAGCTGGGGGTCACGGGGGGAGTGGGGTTTGGGGGGTTTTGGGAGTCACTCAGGGGGGCTCACCCGGTAGCGGTGCTGCAGCGTCTTGTTGTGGGGCTGGGGGGGGTGAAGTTGAGGTGGGGGTGGAGTCCTCCTGCCTGTGTGTGGGGGATATCAGTGGGGCCCACCCACCTGGGGACCCCCCAGGAACCCACGGGTGGGGCAGGAACTTGTGGTGGGCTCACCAGGAGGCCACGAGGGGGAGGGCGAAGCGCACGGGAACTTCCCAGGACTTCGCGTTGTCCCCGAGGGTGACGTTGGGCTCGTTCTCGCTGTGGGGACAGGGAGGGGGAGAGACCCACAGGTGTCACCTCCCCCACCCCACAAACCCCCCCTCGATCCCCACAGATGCCCCCCCACCTGCTCACAGCCGCCGTCAGCCCTACGGACTCGCCCCACGAGGCGTTCTGCTGCAGGTCAAAGGTCACCTCCACCGCCACCTGCCGTGGGTTGGGGTGACTCCGGGTGGGGTGGGTGGGGTGAATTACCCCACAACCACCCCCGCCGGCCCCCCACGCGGGTCTCACCTGCCATCCTGCGCGCAGTACGGGCGAGCCCAGGCGGCAGGACAGGCCCCACGGCTGCCCCTCAGCGCCAGGGGCGTCCCGGCAGGTGATGGGCACAGGGGCCGAGCCCTTGAATGGGAAATTTTGGACTGAAATCCGTGGGATCTGCGGGATCTGCGACCCCCCCAAGCCCCCCTGTGTGTCCCTCCCACCCCCACATCCCGATATTTTGGGGCGCCCCGCATGGGGTGCCCCACATGTACCTGGCTGGCCCTGGCGCGTCGGTAGGAGACCCCCTGGGGGTGCCCCATTTGTAGGGTTGCCCCATAAGCGTCTTCTCCAGAGTTTTCCACCACCAGCAGGACCCCCAGCTCGGCGTCGGGGACCCCCAGCACAGCAAAGCCCCTCGGCCCCAGCCGGACCCCCAGGTCGGCCTCGCACAGCCCGTCGGGGCCGCAGCTCTGCTCGAATGGGATCTGTGGGGCGGGGGGAATTTTGGGGGAAAATGGGTTAATTTGGGGGGGTGGGGGTGTTAATTTGGGACTAAACCAGGATTAAAAAGGGCTAAAACGGGATTTAAAATTACTAAACCAGGATTGAAAGGGACTATACCAGGATTAAAAGAGCTGAAACAGGAGGAAAAGGACTAAACTGGGATTGAAAGGGCTAAACCACAATTAAAAAGGGCTAAACCAGTATTAAAGGGGCTAAACCAGGATTAAAATTGCTAAAATGGGATTAAAGGTACTAAACCAGGATTAAAAGGACTAAACTAGGATTAAAATTACTAAACCAGGATTTAAAGGATTAAACCAGGATTTAAAAGGACTAAACCAGGATTAAAATTACTAAACCAGGATTAAAAGGACTAAACTAGGATTAAAATTACTAAACCAGGATTTAAAGGATTAAACCAGGATTTAAAAGGACTAAACCAGGATTAAAATTACTAAACCAGGATTAAAAGGCCTGATTCAGGATTAAAAGGGCTAAAATGGGATTAAAAGGGCTAAAACGGGATTAAAGGGACTAAACCAGGATTTAAAGTGCTAAATCAGGATTAAAAGGGGCTAAATCAGGATTGGGGGGACCCTCCCCGTGGGCGTTACCTCCACCCAGGTGGGGCCGGTGCCGGGGGGCAGGATGGGCCCTGGGGGGTCTCTGTGGGGCAGAGAGACGGTGACAGTGGCACGGAGGGGAGTGATGATGTCCTCGAGGCACGGCTGAAGCACAGCGGAGGGGGGGGAGAAGTTGGGGGGGATGGGGATCCCAAAATGTGGATCCTACCCCCCAAATGTGGATCCCACCCCCCCAGATCTGGATCCCATCCCCTCAAATCTGGATCCCTCCCCCTCAAAATGTGGATCCCAAAATGTGGATCCCACCCCCAAGTTGTGGATCCCACCCCCAATTATGGATCCCTTGGCCCCAAATCTGGATCCCACCCTCCAAATTTGGATCCCACCCCCCAAATGTGGATCCCACTCCCCTAAATGTCCATCCACCCCCAAAATGTGGATCCCACCTCCCAGGGATGAATCCCACTCCCCAAATATGGATCCTACCCCCCAAAGTGTCAATCCAAACCCCCCAAATGTCCATCCCACTCCCCAAAATGTAGATCCCATCCCCCAAATGTGGATCCCACTCCCCCAAAATTGGATCCCACCCCCAGGGGCCGGTCCCTACCATCAGCCTGAGTTCTCTGCTCTGGCAGCTCCTCCCTGGTTCCATCTCCCCCTCCCAGCTTGGCTGCCCCTCCCCGAAATCCCCCCGAATTTGGTCTCGCTGTGGCTCCACTTCCACCCGGAACATCACAGGGGTCACGGGATCACCTGGAGGTCACGGTCAGGGTGAAAACTCAGCCAAAAACCACCCAAAGACCCTCCTAGACCCCCTCCACCCCTGCCTTCCCCCTCCCCACCCCGGACCTGGGCGGTGCAGGCAGAGCTGGAGGGTGACGATGGTGACAACGGTGACGTCAGAACAGTCGACCCCGCGGGTGGGGATGGCGGGAGGGTCAAAGGTCAGGTTGGCAGTGACCCTCAGCACCGGGCGGGACCTGCAGAGGGGGAGGGGGGACACGTCAAGGGTGGCACCAGTTGTGTCACCACCCCCGTGTCCCTCCAGTGTCACCACCCTGTGTCTTCCCCAGTGCCCTTCCCCCTCGACTTACCCCCCCGTGCCCTTGTCCCTTGTCCCCACCCCCCTGTCCCCATCCCTTGTCCTCATCCAACCCCGCCATCACCATCCATGTCCCCCCGTCCTTGTCCCGTGTCTCCACCCTGACATTGCCACCTCCGCTACCCCGTTACCACCCCCACGTCTCCACACCCCCACCCGCCTCCCCGACCCCGCACTGTGTCCCCGTGTCCCCACCCCGTGTCCCCATCTCCACCCCCACGTCCCCATCCCCTCTCCGACTCCCCTCCGTGCCCCTCCTGTGTCCCCATCCCCCTCCCCGACCCCATGCTGTGTCCCTCCTTGACCCCACGCCGCGATCCCACCCTGTGTCCCCACCCCCACGTCTCCACGTCCCCACCCCGTGTCCCCATCTCCACCTCCCGACGTCCCCCATGCCACTCCTGTGTCCCCTCCATCCCCCCCAGGTGTCACCTCATCACCACGACGTGTCCCTCCATCCCCACGGCCACGTCCTCCAGCCCATCCCCCGTCAGGTCCAGCCCCCGGCCACCGCCTGCCCGAAAAATCGCCCTGGGGCCACCACGGCCCCCTGCAGCCTCTGGGTGGATGGGGGGGTGGGGACACCTCAGCCCGTGATGTCCCCTCCCCCCGTGGTGGGGGTCTGTCCCCCTCCTCGTGTCCCCCCCACCCTCCCCCAAAAGGTCCCACCTGGCGGGGGTGCAGTTCCACCCCCCCGGGCCGCCCCCAAAAGATGTAAATGGCCCCGCGCTCCTCGTCCTCCAGCGGGGCCCCCACGGCCACCTCGGGCAGTTCGTCACCATCCAGGTCCCCCAGCGCGGCCAGGGATGCCCCGAAACGCCCCAGGGGGTGGCCGGGGGCACCCCAAAGCTGCCCAGAGGGGTGCAGGGAGTCCTGGGGGGGACAAGGGGGGTCACCTTGGGCAACCCCCAATCCCATGGGGGTGGCTGAGGTCACCCCGTGGGGTCGCCAAGCTGGTGGCCACCACGGTGACCCCACATCTCTGGTTTGGGGGTCACCCCAGTCACTCCTGGGTTGTCATCCCCTGGTCACTCCAGCCCCACGTCCCTCAGGTTGGGGTCACTCCCGGGCTGTTGTCACCCCCTGGTCCCTCCAGTCCCATGTCCCTCAGGTTGGGGTCACCCCTGGTCACCTTCATCCTACCCCTCCCCCAGCTCAGGGTCCTCCTGGTCACCCCCAGTGTCCCTGGGCATTCTGTCCCACCCCACATTTCTGGGGGTCGTTGGTGGTGCCCCCCAGGGGGGTAGGGGTGACAGGTGACCCCCCTCTTACCTGATCCCACCTGTACAGGTACACCCGTCCCCCTCGGCGCCCGTCATAATGGGTGGGGGCCCCCACCAGCAGAGCCACTGTCCCCCCGCCCTGCTCCAGGGTGCAGAGGGTGGCCCCAAAATAGGACCCCACCTGCGGAGGGGGGGGACATCTGCGTCAGTGAGAGGGTGGGTAGCACCCATGGGGACCCCTCCCCACAATGTAGGACCCCACCTACAGGGTGACACGTGTCACCTGGGGGGGCAGTGGGGACACCCAGGAGTCACCCTGTCGTCGTTCCCCCCGCCCCCGTACCTGCTCCCCCTGGAGGGTCTGCAGCACCTTCCAGTCCCCAGCAGCCTCGGGGACCTCGAAGAGGACGACCCCCCCCATGTAGAGGTGTCGGGGGGCACCTGCGGCCACCAGAGCCCGCCCAGGGACCTGCAGCCCTGCCAGGGAGTAGCCTGGGGGGGGGTCGGGGGGCCACCAGCAGGTTCAGGGGGTCACATCGGTGAAGGTGGTCACCGAGATGTGACGACCTGGTCACTCCTGAGCTCGTTTAGGGGGGTGGTGTCCCCCCATGGTCACCCCAGGTTAGGGTCACCGTTGTTACCTGCTCCTCAAGTTGGGGTGACCTGGGTCACCCCCTCCTCACCCCACCCCCTGAGATGGGGCCACCATGGTCATGCTGGTCCCCTGGTTGGGTCTGAACCTCCCCCTCCAAAACCCCCACACCAGGATCCTGCTTCCCACCCATCCCAAACCCTCCAACCCCAGAGTCTCCACCCCACAAGATTGACCCTCCCCCAACTCCCCCAACCCCACAAATTCAACCCCTCCCCCAACTCCTCCCAATCCCACAAATTCAACCCCTCCCCCAACTCCCCCAATCCCACAAATTCAACCCCTCCCCAACTCCCCCAATCCCACAAATTTACCTCCTCTCCTGCTCTGTTCCCCCCGCTTAACCTCTCCCCCCAATTAACTCCCATTCCCCACATCCATCGACCCCTCCCCAATCCACATAGCCCCTAATTAACGCCCCCCGTCCCCCCCCAAATTAACGCCTCTTACCCAGGTACCCCTCCTTGGGGTGGGGGTTGGGCACGAAGGTCTCATTCTCCCCCTGCAGCTCCAGCAGCCCCCCCGCCCAGTTATCGGCACCCACCGCCCCTGTCACCCGCCGGCCCTGGGGGAGGAGAGGGTCAGGGATGGGGGGGAGAGGGTCAGGAGAGCACAAGGACATCCCTCCCTGCCTTTCCCTCCCCCCTCAATCCCACCTGGATGACGTCAAGGCTGATCCCGCTGGAGCACATCTCGAGGTGGAAACTGTGCAGCTGGGTGGTCCCTGGGGGGGGGAAATGGGATGGGATGGGATGGGGGCATGGTGACTGGGAAGGGGAGGGGACTAGGGATTGTATCTGGAGGGAAATGGGATGGGGCAGGTTAACTGGGAAGGGAGGAGGAGGGGACCAGGGCGGTACCTGGTGGGGGATGATGGGGACAGGATGGGAGCAGGTTAACTGGGAATGGGGAGGAGGAGGGGACCAGGGGTGGTACCTGTGGGGAAAATAGGATTGGGGGTAGGTTAACTGGGAAGGGGAAAGGGGGACCGGGGGATACTGGGCTTGGGGGTGGGGAGGTGCTAACTGGGGTGAGGGAGGGGCTAACTGGGAAAGAAAGGGGTGAATTGGGGGGTGGCGGGTGGGGTCCAATCCCCCTTTAGCCGGTTTTGGAGTATCCCTTCCTCGTTGCCATCAGGGTTTCTGGGCAGAGAAGGGGAGGGAAGGTGAGGGAGGGGGAAGGAACGGGTGGTGGGGGAGGGTTCCCGGGGTACCCTCAATGTCATAGAGCCGCGCCTGCAGGTCCTGGAAGAGGCCGCGGAGCCGCTCGAAGCTCTCGAGCACCTTCACGAAGCCCGGCCCGGAGGCAAATTGCTGCAGGTAGCGCCGCGTGTCAGGGCTGTCGAAGTTGTTCCCCACCTGGGGGGGACATGGTGGGGTGTTACCGGGGTGGGAAGGGGGCGTGGATGTTGTTCCGTCCCTCTCCGCCCACCTCCCACCCGTCCCCATCCTGCCTCTTCACGGCCACACCCACCCGGGGCCGAGCCCACCTGCAATCCGTTCACCACACCTGCTTGTGGTCCGGTTTCGCCCTGCCCCTCAGAGGGCCACGCCCCCCCGCTCGCGACCACGCCCACATCTGCCGGCACCCGACCACATCCAGCTCCAGCAGACCCCGCTTCCGGCCACGCCCACCCCACCCCCCAACAACACATTGCCACACCCACCGCTGGTCGCACCCGCTGCGACCACACCCGCTTGACTCACTCAACATCACACCCACTCATGGCCACACCCACATGACGGCCATGCCCATGGAATGGCCACGCCCACACAATGACCATGCCCACACAGTGGCCACACCCACACAATGACCACACCCATGCAATGCCCACGCCCACCCAATGACCATGCCCACACAGTGGCCACACCCACACAATGACCACACCCATGCAATGACCACGCCCACCCAATGACCATGCCCACACAGTGGCCACACCCACACAATGACCACACCCATGCAATGACCACGCCCACCCAATGACCATGCCCACACAGTGGCCACACCCACACAATGACCACACCCATGCAATGACCACCCACGCAATGACCACGCCCACCCAATGACCATGCCTGCACAATGACCACGCCCACACAAATGACCATACCAACACAATGGCCATGCCTACACCCCTACCAGTCCTACCATAACCACGCCCGCACAAGGACAACACCCACACAACGACCACGCCCATACAGTGGCCATACCCACACAAAGACCATGCCCATACAAAGACCACACCCACACAATGGCCACACCCACACCACTACCAGTCCCACCATAATTACGCTCACACATGACCACACCCAGCTCCACCACAGCCTCATGGCCACGCTCCCGGCTACGCCCCCTGTCTCGCCCACCCCGATGACGTAGCGGTGGATCCCACGCTCCTCGGCTGCCTCCAGCGCCTGCGGGTCGTGGTCAGTGGCGTCGCCATCCGTGATCATCACCAGCACTCGCCGCGCCCCCGGCCGCGCCCCCGCCTCGGCTGAGAACAGCTCCTTCCTGCGGCCACAGGCACGGGTGGGGCCATGGCAGGGGGCATAGGGGGGGCATGGGGGCATGGGGGTGGCTGGGGGGTGGCTGGGGGTTGGGGGTGGCAGTTTAGGGGGCTGGGGGGTGGTTCTGAGGACAGGGGGCTGCAGGGATGCTCTGGGTAGCAGAGTGGGCAGGTTAGGGGGTACTGGGGCTCAGTAGGTGGCACTGGGGGGATCGGTTGAGGGGCAACAGTGAGGCAGAGGAGGGGCAGTGGGGGGACAGCAGGGGGACGGGAGGGTGGGGGGTGGTGGGGAGCAGCAAAGGGACAACAGTGGGTGCTGAAGGGTGGCAGTGGGGTGTGGGGCAGTGGGGTGGGGCAGTGAGGTGAGGCAGTGGGGTAGGGCAGTGGGGTGGGGCAGTGAAGACAGAAGTGGGGCAGTGGGAGTAGTGGGGTGGGGCAGTGGGGTGCAGTGGTGTGGGGTGGTGCGGTGCAGTGGGGTGGGGCAGTGGGGTGAGGTAGCGGAGTGAGGCAGCGGAGGCAGAAGTGGGGCAGTGGGAGCAGTGGGGAGTGGCAGTGGGGATTGAGGGGTGGTTCTGGGGGGCCAGCAGTGGCAGTTGCTGCCCTGCTGTGGGGGGTGGTGGCAGTGGGGGCACAGAGGTGGCATTAGGAGGGCAGCGCTGGGGGGGATGGTGGGGAGAGGGAGCAGAGGGTGGTGTGGGGCATAAGGAGGGGTGGGGACAGCAGGGGACAGCAGGGGACATTGGGACAGCTGTGGGGCAGCTGTGGGGCAGCAGCGGGGCGTGTCTCACGCGACGAAGCCAATGGCGGCGAAGGTGTCGGTGAGGCCCCCGCGTTGCTCCAGCCCCCGCAGCAGCTCCTGGGGCTGCGGCCGGGCTGCGAATTCCTTCAGCGTGAACACCGTGTGGACCCGGTCTGAGAACTGCACGGCCCCGAACTGGGGGTGGAGAGGATCATCTGAGTACCCACCCCGCAGTTTCCCCCCAGCCCCACGGTGTCCCCACAGCCCCCAAGTTGTCCCCTCAGCCCCTACAGTGTCCTCACAGCCCCATGGTGTCCCCACAGCCCCACAGTGTCCCCACAGCCCACAGCCCCACGGTGCCCCCATAGCCCCCATCCCCCACAGTGCCCCCTATAGATCCCATTCTCCTACACTGTTCCCTATAGTCCCCATCCCTCCATAGTGCCCCCTATAGATCCCATCGCCCCATAGTGCCCCCTATAGCCCCCATCCCCCCACAGTCCCCCTCTAACCCCCACCCCCTAAATCCTGCCCCCGGTGCCATTTCCCTCCCCCTTTCCCCTCCAGTGCCCCCCCAAAACCCCGCGGGGCTCACGTGGACGGGGCTGTCTTGCAGCTTCTCCATCACGTCCACCATGAAGTCGCGGATGGCCCCGAACTGGGAGCTGCTCATGCTGCTCGAGTCGTCGAACAGGAACACCAGGTCCACCGGGCCCCGCTGGCACCCTGGGGGGCACATTTGGGGGGGGGGGTCACATTTGGGGTCAGCACCCCCGTGGGGGGGCCGCAGGGAAAGGTTTTAATACCCCCCATCCCACCGTGGGGTCACCACGATGGACCTTTTGTGGGGTCAACTCATTAGTGGGACTTTTCGTGGTCCCTGTGGGTCGATCGTCACGGGGACACCACCACGAGGTTCTCTGGGGGGTTGTGGGGTTTTGGGGGGTCATTTCTGGTGGGATGGGGGAACACCCCCTGACCTTGGTACCCCGGCAGCAGCTCCCGCCCCGTTCCCATCTGGGGGTCCAGCAGGACGCAGACCCCGCTGGTGTAGACGTTGCGGTCGCACACGTGGGTCAAGCCGGGCCCACAGGCCTGGGGGGAGGGGGGATAAAAAAGGGGTAGGGGTTGGGGCTGAGGGGAAAAGGGGGTGGGATTGGTCCCTTTTCCCCCTCGGGGTGAGGGGACTGTTGGACTCACGATGGTGACGTCGCCGTCCCGGGCCAAGGCCATTCCCATATGGGTCCGGCTGCTGTTCCCTGGGGGTGGGGTTTGTTCGTGACCCTGTCCCGGTCCCGCCCTAATTCTGCCTCGATCCCGCCCTAATCCCGCCCCTCCTCCATTTGAAATCGCACCCCACCTGCTCCCAACCCCCCCCACCCATTCTAATCTCATCCTGCTCCCACCCTAAATCCACCCCTAAAACAAGCCCACCCACACCCCCATCCACACTCCAATCCCACCCTAAACCCGCCCCTAAAACCACCCTACCCACACCCCCATCCCACACCCCAATCCCACTCTAAACCCACCCCTAAAAGCCACCCTACCCACACCCCCATCCCACACCCCAATCCCACTCTAAACCCACCCCTAAAAGCACCCTACCCACACCCCATCCCACACCCCAATCCCACCCCCAGTCCCACCCTAAACCCACCCCTAAAAGCACTCCATAATCCCACCTCGCTCTCCCCCCACCCACCCCAAGTTCTCCCCAATCCACCCCCACCCCACTCCCACCCTGACCCCCACCCAAATGGCCCTTAATTCCACTTCAGCCCTACCTGCAATCCCACCCCACATCCACTTCTAATCCCACCCCAGTCCCTCTTGACAACCCCCCCCCGACCCCAAATCCCAAATCCCACCTTCCAGTGGCACCTCCCGGCACTCCCCGCTCTGCACCGAGCACTGGAACAGCCCCCCCCCATCTCCCACATCTGCCGGGGCCCCCACCAGCACCCTGGGGACAGAGGAGTGGGTCAAGGGAGGTCCCACCCACCCCTGGGACCTCCTCAATCCCAGGGGTCGAGGGGGTCCCTGCCACCCTGAGACTCCCCAGTCCCAGGGGTTCCCAGCCACCCCCTGGACCCCCAATCCCAGGGATCGGGGGAGATCCTGGCCACCCCTGGGATTCCCAATCCCTGGGGTCGGGGGGGTTCCAGCCACTCCCGGCATCCCCAATACCAGGTGTCGTCCCAGCCACCCCCGGGGTCCCCAGTCCCAGGGGTCAGGGGTCGTCCCAACCACTCCCAGCACCCCACATCCCAGGTGTCAGCGGGGATCCCGACCACCCCGGGACCCCCCAGTCCCAGGGGTCCTCCCAGCCACCCCCTGGACCCCCAATCCCAGGGGTCAGGGGGGATCCCGACCACTCCCGGGACCCCTAATCCCAGGGGTCGTCCCAGCCACCCCCGTAACCCCCCAATCCCAGGGGTCAGGGGGGGTCCCAGCCACTCCCGTAACCTCCCAGTCCCAGGGGTCAGGGGGTCCCAACCACTCCCGTAACCTCCCAGTCCCAGGGGTCAGGGGGTCCCAACCTCCCCTGGGACCCTCAATCCCAGGGGTTGTCCCGGCCACCCCCGGCACCCCCAATCCCACGTGTTGTCCCACAACTGGGGGTGCTCAGCCCCCCCCCCAAATCTCGTACCGGGCCCCCTCGAGCGGCAGGACCTGGTGCCCAAAACTGCGGCCCCGCCCAGGGCTCAGGATCCGATGCGGGATCGGGTGGATGCTGAAGGTCCCCACGCAGGGCAGGGCTGGGGGGGCAAAGAGAGAGATAGGGGGGCCAGGGGTGAGAGGAGCCCCCCCACGGCCCCCCCAAACCCACACACAGAGGGGGACCCAGCACCGTAACTGGGGGGGGTGGCTGAGCCCCCTAAGTGGGGGGCACCCCCATCATCCAGGCCCAACGTGGGGGCTCCACTTCCTTCCCCCTCTGAGCGTGGGAAGGATCTGGGTGGGCTTCCCCCACCCCAAAATGGGTCAGGTCCCCCGAAAAACCCCCCTGCTGTGGGACAGTGCCCCCCAGTACCGGCCACCAGCACCCTGATGGCGACGCCGATGATGCCACCGTGCCGCGCAGCCGCCATGCTGTCACTGTCACTGTCACTGCCACTGCCACTGCCGCTGCCACCCCAGGTCACCCCCCACTTCCTTCCTGTGGTGAGAGGGTGACAAACTTCCCACACAGAACCCGGGCGGGGGCCCAGAACGGGAGGGGACACAACTGGGGGAGGCAGAATTTGGGGAGGGGGACAGAACGGGGGTGACACAGAACTAGGGAGTGATGACCTTGGGGTGGGGGGGGGAGACCCAGAATTGGGGGGGACCCAAACTGGGCAACGAGACAGAACCAGTGGGGGACAGAACTGGGGGGTGGAACCTGGAACTAGGGGGGACCCAAAAGTGGGAAAGAGACAGAACTGGGTTGGGGGGGACACAGAACTGGGTTGGGGGGACGTAGAACGGGGCAGGGGAGACAGAAGTGGGTGGGTGGAGACCCAGCAACCCAGGATCCAGCACTGGGTGGGGGGGACACCCATCCCTGGGGGTCTCTCCAGGCAGATGGGACTTGCCTGTCACCGCTGGGAGGGGGATGGTGAAGGGGGGGTGTGGGTTGGGGTTGAATTTGGGGCTGGGATGTGCTGGGTGATGGAGATGGCGAGAATTGGGATTTAAAAGAGCTGGAATGGGTTGTGGGAAACTCAGAGGTTTGGGGAAGTCCTAAGGTAACCACAGACCGTGTTTTTGAAGCAGCAACCACTGATGACAAAGAGACACCAGTAAACCTTGGCCCATCCTGGGGCAATCCCATTTTGGGAAGCGAGGGGGGGGTGGTTAAAGCATACAGGGAAAACAGCAGGACAGTCCAGGGGCAGTGACAACCAGGAACAGGCAAAGGGCCCCAACAAGCCCAGCTCTGGGGTTCATTTCCTCATTTCTCACGTGGTTGATGGGGAGCAGTTTCGTGGGGGCTGTCAAAGTCAAAAGATCACCAAGAAAAAAGAACAAGAAAGTGTTTTTTTTTCTGGTTTTCCTCATCTTTCTGCCCAGAGAATACAGGGAGCTTCTGATTGAAGTTGTTTCTGAGCATTATGAAGCACAAATCCAAAACTGGGGGGAGCTTTTAGTGCACTCCTTGAGGTGAATTAAACACAGGCTGGGGTTGCTCACTGGAACAAGCTCCCCAGAGAAGTGTTTTCCCAGCCTGCCAGATCTCAAGGAGCACAGGGATGATGCTCTTAGTCCTGTGATTTCATTTTTACGTGGTCCTGAAATGAAATCAGGGACTCGAGGATCCCTGATGAACCCCTCCAGTTTGATCCTCTGATAGTGGGTGCTACTAAAAGCACCATGGAGGGCGATGTCAACATCAGGCACGGCCAGCCCAGGCTCTCAAAGGGCAACAGCTGTTCCTCCAATCTGAGATATTCTGTATTACCATGATTTGTTCCTTCAGACACCTCCCAGCTCGAGATCCCAGCAGTTAAAATCTCTCCTGCCTGCCCAGACAGCTCTTTTTCATGTTCCCACATATATATTTCCTATCTCTCTCTCTCTCTCTAAAACCTTTCTGATGAGATCACCCCTTGCAGGAAGATGAGAACTTTACAGACAGCTGGTGCTGAGCACGTGGTTCCCAGGGGTGTTTTGGGGTTTGTGAACCCCCAAATTTCCTTTTTCCTGCTAAATTTCCTTTTGTTGCAGACAGGACAAGCTCTGCTGGGCAGATCTCTGAGGAGAGCGGGTAGGAGGTGGTGTCACGGGCCTGTCACATCCACCTGAAGAGCTCAGGAGAAGCCTGAGACAAAAACAGCAATGTCAGTGCCAGGGTGAGGATGATGGGGGGGGCAGGTGAGGAGGAAGGTTGTTCCAAGCAGGGTCAGCCCCCTCGAGGGACTGTCCAGACCTCCCAAGGAGACAGCATCAACATCAACATGGAAAATGTATCTATCACCTCTCTCTGAACTGAAAAGTGACAAAATATTCCCTTTCATAAAAAAAAAAAAATTACGTATTTCATGATGTGTACTTTGAAATCTTCCTCAACGACGCCCCAAACAGACTCCAATCAAGCCTTAGAGGCCTGAAGATCATTAAAGGCAGGGAGAGAGAGAGCTTTTTTTTTGAGTGATGATTCTTTTTCCTCGCTTCCAGTCTGAACATTCCAAATGGGGAAGGGACTGGAGCACAAATGCTGTGAGGAGAGGCTGAGGGAGCTGGGGTTGTTGAGCCTGGAGAAGAGGAGGCTCAGGGGAGACCTCAGCACTCTCTGCAACTCCCTGACAGGAGGTTGTAGCCGGGTGGGGATTGGTCTCTTCTCCCAGGCAACTATCAGTAAGACAAGAGGGTCAGTTTCAAGCTCTCCCAGGGGAGGTTTGGGTTGGATATTAGGAAGAAATTCTTTACAGAGAGAGTGATCAGGCATTGGAATGGGCTGCCCAGGAGGTGGTGGATTCACCATCTCTGGAGGTTTTTAGGATGAGGTTGGATGTGGCCTCAGTGCCATGATCTGGTAATCACAGTGGGGTTGGATCAAGGGTTGGACTTGATGGTCTCGGAGGTCTCTTCCAACCCAGTTAATTCTATGATTCCATGATTCTATGATTCTATGAAATTGCACTTTGTGGGTTTCCTTCTCCTTCCAGTGCCAAGAAAAGCTCTGTTATCCCTCAAACCGCTCTTCCAGCAGTAGCAGAGAGAAAAGGGAGAAAGGAAAGACAAAATGAAGCAAATGAAAGGAGGGAATGGGGCACTTTCTACTGCATTTTTCTTTGCCCTCAAGCGCCTGGAGACGACTGTGGGAGGGCTTTGTCCTGTCACCTTCCCAAGGACTGAGGGAGAGCTATCCAGTCCCTAATTCCCCCTCCTGAAGCCAGATTGGGCATTTTCCTTCTCTGAGGGCTTGAAAACCTCCCTGATTGCTCTGTCTTTTCTGAGACAGTCAGGAGAGGTCTCATGGTAAGAGCAGCCAGGCCCCTGGGCCTGTTTAGGAGACAGCCAGAAGAGATTCCTCCCTGCAGGATCACGGCTCCAGCTCAGCTTTTTGGGGTGGTTTCCCCTCTGTGTCACGAGTCCTCCGTTCCACAGGCTGGAACCATCCCAGCCCTACAGGGTGTCACCTGCTCTGTCCCTGCCTGAGATGCCCCCCCGAGGCCTGAGGAGTGGGCACGGGGAGCTCTGTGCACAGAAGCACATCCCAGGGCTGCACCCTGGGGGGATTTTCCCAGGAAATGTTCCTGTTGGTGAGCCCAAGGCACTGTTTGTCCCACAGCCTCTCGTGCCCCCCCCTTCCCCAGGGAGCTGTGGGTGTTTGTGCCCACTCAGGTTCATCTCCCCACACCAGCACCACGTGTGTGCTCACCCCTCGTCTGCCCAGTGCACGCAGAGACTTCCGGTGGTGCCGGTTCCATGTGGGGAGCGACTGGAGTGACCCCTTTGCCTGTCCTGGACACTCTGCTGTTGGTGTTGTTGCTGTCACTGCTCGTTTTCTGACTGCATCGCTGTTCCCAGGGAATTGTTCTTATCCCAAGCTGGGATCTTTCCCTTTTGTCCCTCCAAGTTCTCCTCTCAGTCCCTCCCCAGAGGGAGGGCAGGGGAAGGGAGTGGGTGAGCAGCACGTGGTCTGGGGTGTTCCAGTGGGAACAGTAAACTGGTGAACACCAAACTGGGGAATGCCATTCCTAAACTACAACAACCGCAAAAGCCGAATTTCTTTGGTTTGAATTCTCAGAGGCAATTTTAATTTAAAGGTTTTTCGTAGTTTTCAAAGGTCTGTTAAGGAGTTTTTTTCAGGTGAATTTGAATAATAATGAATTTGCCTAAGAGTTTTTGTAGTTTTGTTAAAGATGATCCCTTTTTAATTCTTCACTGTTTTGCACAGTAGTAAAATTACACCCTTGTTCCTTAAAATTGGTGTCTGTGTGTCTTGTGCCAACCCTCATCCCCTGGAAAAACACCCCTCCAGGCCCTTCACTGTTCCCATGGCCCTCCTTGGGACGCTCTCTAATGTCTCTCTTCTTGTGTCACCCAGAAGTGCCCCCAGGACTCAAAGAGAGGCCACCCCAGTGCAGAGCAGAGCGGGACAATCCCCTCCCTGGCCCTGCTGGGCCTGATGCCCCCCAGGACAGGGTTGGCCTTCCTGGCTGCCAGGGCACTGCTGACTCGTGTCAACCTGGCCACTGACCAGGACCCCAAGGTCATTTTCCACGGGGCTGCTCTCCAATGTCTCATTCCACAGCATGTCTGTACATCCAGGTGCAGAATCCAGCGCTTGTCTTTGTCAGGCTTCATGTGGTCGGTGGTTGCCAAGTCCTCTGATCTGTCGAGGTCTCTCTGCAGGGACCCCCTGCCTTCCAGGGAGCCAACAGCTCCTCCTGTGTGGTCGAGGCGGGGAGGTGACATGGGTTTCAGGATACCAGCAGCTTTTTTATTGCAACAGTGCAGCTACCTTTATACAGTTCTGGGGTGACACATGTACACACAGCATTGGTTTAGCACTTCATAACAACTTATGATTGGACATACAGCCACATGTCCTAACACAATAGGCTGACATTCCTCACAGGAAACCCACTCTGCGTTACAGTCCTACTGTCCGTGGTTAACCCTCTGCCAGGCGTAAGAAGTTCCATCTTCAGTATCTCAGTTTACTGAGAACCCAGAACCAGCTGGGCTCCCCCACATCCTCCCAGTTTGTTGTTGTCGACAAAGCCCCTCAGTGTCCCTTCCAGTCCTCCCTCCCAGTGGGGGCAGGGAAGGCAGATGAGCCTGCAGAAGAGCCCCTGGGGCTCTATGCTCGAGGTCAGCAACAAGGCTGCAGCTCCAGGCTGTGGGGTGTGCGCTGCAGAAGGGCAGGGGAGAGCCCCCGGCCCAGGCACGGAGCAGGGAGAGCCCATGGCCCAGCCTGGGCCCTGGGGCTTGTCCTCACCAAGCACTCGCCGATCCTCCGTGTTTGCAACGTCTCCACCAGGTGCTTGAGCTCCTTCCACTTGAGGAGCTTTGCTGAAGCCAGGAGGGCTTCCCTGGAGACCTGCAGAACAGCAGAAGCTGGGAGGTGGCACCAGGGCCTGGGCAAGGTGACCTGCAGTGATCCTGCCCTTACGAAGCTGGGACACGCCCCGCAAAAGCATCTGGGGTTCTCTGTCTGGGGACAGCCCTGGGGGACAGGGATTGAGGCTCAAAGCCCTGGCCTCAACACCTGTGGGGACACGCGTATTCAGGCCTGGGTGGCCGTGGGCTGCTGCCCAGCCCTGGTGGAGCAGGTAGGGCAGGTGCTGGGAAGGGCCGTGGCAGCGTCTCTGCCCCTGCTCGTGCGGGTTCTGCAGGGACCCTCCCCACAGGCTGCAGGGGGGGGAGGGCTGCCCACTGCCAACAGGCCTGCCCCGATGCCCAGAGCCCCTATGGGGTGTCAGCCCCCCCCCACACCTTTTTGGGTCCATGCTCAGCCTTGCAACCTGTTCCTGCATGGCGATGGCACTGCCCTCCTCCCTCTCCAGGTGCCCCAGCACATTTCTGAGGACCCCCAGGGCCTTCACTGCAAGAGGTGAATGTTTGTGCCACAGGAGGTTCACCAAGTCTGGCAAGAGGACCTGCATTTTTCGGGCCTGGAGGAAAGACACAGTTTCCATCTGATAAGAAGTTCCGTGCCTGGGCAGCTGGTCAGGCAGCCACCAGGCCCCACCCTGGCAGGGAGGGCTTTGGGAACAGTCAGCCCCCATCCTGACGCCCAGCACAGGCCACTGCCTCACCCACAGCCTCAGAGCCTGGCTGGAACACAGCTCCCCTGACATTCTGCATTCCCATTGTTATGTCACTTAGCATGGCAACCATTGTGCATTCTCATTGTTAGGCTGGTTACCATGGCAACTATTATGCATTCCCATTGTTACCTTGGTTACCATGGCAACCATTATTCATTCTCATTGCTATGTCAGTTACCATGGCAACCATTATGCATTCTCATTGTTACAAGTTGTTACCATGACAACCGTTATGAAGTCTCATTGTGACTGGGTTACCATGGCAACCATTATGCAATCCCATTGTTACGTCACTTCCCATGGCAACCATAATGCATTCCCGTTGTTACCTCGGTTACCATGGCAACCATTATGCATTCTCATTTTTACAAGCGGTCACCATGGCAACCATTCTGCATTCTTATTGTTGTTATGTAGGTTACCATGGCAACCATCATACATTCACATCACTAAAGGTCGGTTACCATGGCAACCATCTGTAACACACAGATAATATAGAAATGCCAAAAAATGTTACTCCATTGTTTCTGCCTGTCAAAAACTTCCTATCAAACATTCTCTGTCAGCTCTCTGTCACAAGTTCCCACCAGGACTTCCCACAGGACTTTTCCTGCCAAAAGATCCTGCCATTGTTTATGGTTACCATATCTCCTCCAACATCTGAACTGGCTACGTGCCAAGAAACCACATTCAACCTCCTTTGAACACTATGAAAGTTGAGGCCTAATTTTGGAAAATCAGGGAGAGGAAAGGGAGAAGAACTGGTGACTGTAGCCGAGAATCTCTGCCCACCTCCCCTCACCTTTTCTCCGCCACCGCGTGCTGCCTGCCTGCCACCGGAGACTGGAACTGTGCCAGCCTGGAGAGAGCTGAGACCACCGTGCCCCATATGAGAGTTCTACCTTATCCTTCTACCCTGACCATATTTCTGAGGGCCCAAAGCTTCAGCTGAGCTGAGACCCTGCATGGCCTGGGACAGGGGCATGAGCGGTGAAACCACACATGGTGCATTGCAGAGAACTAAAGCTGTCAGACCCCCTGCAGCTACAGAGATAACATCCAAAAGCTGCAGAGACAGAGAAAAAAAGGCAGAAACTCCTTCTCTTCCCCCACATACAGACCAGCTCAGTGAGAAAAGGCAGTTTTCAGTGGTAACTTTTCTCTGCTTCTAGAAATAATCTTAGCAGTTTCCAACTTTTTCTTATTTTTTCCGCTCTCTTTGCACCTCTTAGCAATTAATAAAAATCAGGTTTTGGTATCAAAAAATAATTTGTGTGAGGTTTAGTTTTCCTTAAGGCAGTATTTGAATCTGAAGTTCTTTCTGCAATATTTAAGCAGATTATAGCAGGGTACCATGGAGAAGTGGGATGAACAGGGAGAAGGGTGGAAAAGGAGGGGTGGTCAGGCAGGTCTGATGGTCCCATAGGGGTCTTTGGGCACAGGGGGGCTGGGAAAAGGGGGTGGCTCCCCTGAGGTCCCAATTTACTGTGGGGTGTAGGGGCTGCTGGGTTATGCCAACAGTTTCAGTTCACAGGAATTACAGAGGTGGGACTGAACCTCTTTTGTCCCCCAGGTTTTAAGGATGGAAAATCACATCTATTGGTAGAAATAAATTATTTGGGGTTAAAAATGATCAGACAAAAGATCTCCATCAGAATTATTTACTGCACAACAGAAACACTAAAACTACCAGTACTACAGCATAAGATAGGACAGTGGTCTACACTAAAGCAATTGTTGAAGCAATTCTACTCAAGCTGGCACCAAAGCAAGAATTATGAATTACAGATGGATGGAACTCCCCCAGACCAACACTCGTGGGGAGATCTCTGCTCTCAACCTCCAGCAGTGACCTTGGGGGGTCCCAGCCAAGGCAGGAATCTCCACACACCCCCCAAGAAGGGTTCTGTTGGCACAACCTGCCCCTGGGAAAGGGGACTGGCCCTTTTTGGTAGAAAGGGCTGGACTGACAGTCACTGGACTCCAGGGGCTGCCTCACCATCAGGGGGTCATTTGGGGTAGGAGCAGAGGCCAAAGCTCTTCCCGCAGTCAGGGCACTCGTGGGGCTTCTCTTACTGGTGGGTCCGTTGGTGTTTGGTCAAGGTAGAGCTCTGGGTGAAGCTCTTCCCACACTCCCCACACTTGTAGGGCCTCTCCCCAGTGTGGATGCGCCGGTGGGTGATGAGGGTGGAGTTCTGGTTGAAGCCCTTCCCGCAGTCGGTGCAGTGGAAGGGTCTCTCCCCTGTGTGTGTCCTCTGGTGCTGGACGAGATTGGAGTTGGTCTGAAACCTCTTCCCACATTCCAAGCACTTGTAGGGCCGTTCCTCAGTGTGGATGCGCTGGTGGGTGCGGAGGGTGGAGCTGTAACTGAAGGTCTTCCCACATTCCCCACACGTGTAGGGCCGTAACCCAGTGTGGATAACCAGGTGTCGGATCAGGCTGGAGCTGTCACTGAAGCTCTTCCCACATTCCCCACACTTGTAGGGCCCTTCCCCAGTGTGGATGTGCTGGTGCCTGAAGAGGTGGGAGCCCCGGCTGAAGCTCTTCCTACATTCCAAGCACCTGAAGGGCTTCTCCCTGCTGGGAGGCTGCTCAGGGACCACCAGCTCGGAGCTCCGGCTCAAGCTCCGGCCGCCTTCCCGGCACAGGCTGGGTCTTTCCTCCTCAGAGCTCCCTGGGCTGGCTTTGCAGCCCCTCCTCCGGGGGCATCTCTGGGCCTTTTCCTCCCCGCTGCCTTCCTGCACCGGGGAGCCCTTCAAAACGGCCTCTCCCACCAGGCTCTGCCGGGGGGATTTGTCCTCCGTGCTCTCCGTCCTCAGCTCGGGGCCTGGGGCAGGAAGGAAGAAGGACAGGCAGGGGATTTGCCTCCGGCCCAGAGGGAAGGCCAAGGACATCCCCCAGATCCAGCCCCAGCAGGACGGCGGCGCCAGCGGGGTTGTCCTGCAGCCGGGGGCGATGCTCGGCTGCCACAGGAACCACAAGACAGGGCCAAAGGGGCACTGACTTCCTCCTCACCTGCCTGAGTGGCAAAAGGCATCTTCCTGTTCCTTGCAGCCTCCTCCTCCATCTGCCCAAGCTTTGGGAAGGACAAATCCTGCTGAGGGGGAAACAAGGGCTGAGCGTGTTGCCTTGGGGGTTCCTCCTGCCCAAGTCTGTCTCTAGAACTCACCAGGCATCCTGGGACCATAAAAACCTCCAAGATTCAGCCCAGAAAAAACAAAACCACCATGATTCAGGCAAACAAAAACTCAGAAAAAGAACTAAGGCCCCTGCCCTCCCAAACTGCAAAACGTTGAGATTCAGCTAAAAAATATTCCAAAATATGAATATTCAGTCCAAACAAACTTTCCCAGGTGTTCCCCCTCTCTCTTCTCTCCCCTCTGGGGTTCAGAGGGTCCCCCCTGTCTGGGATGTTGGGGATCCCACTTAGGGATGCTGGGAGTGTTGGGGGTCCCAAGGGTCTCTTCTCCTCTGACTCTCCCCTTTGGGGTGCCGCCTTCCCACACATTCCCCCTCTCCAGGTTCTCCACCTTATTGTCCCAGGGATCCCAGGGGTCCCCACTCTCCAGGCTTCCCCTTCTCCACTCCCCCCATTTCAGGCTCCCAGGTTCCCGGGGCTCCTCCCTCTCCGTGCTCCCCCCTCCAGCCTGCCGGGGGTCCCCCAGCTCCGGCATCGCCCGCTCCGCCCTCCACCCTCGGCAGCTCCCAAACACAGAGATGGCACTTGTTCCTCTGCAGGGACTCCAGGGCAGCAGAGTGACTCCTGCACCATGGATGGAATGGCACAGGATCCCCTGGGTCCCCAGGCTGGATCAGCACTCGGGGATACAAACTGACCTCGGGCTCAGGATGCAGCTGCGAGCACAGATTGCCCTGCAAAGTCTGCAGGGAGTCAGTCGAGCTCTGGAGAGCAGATTGTGCCCCAGGGATGGGATTGCAGAGGGGCCCTCAGGTCCCCAGGATGAAGCAGCAACCAGCAACAGACACAAAAGGTCTCCCCAAAGATTTTGGGAGCAGTGCCCTGGAGGTAGGAGACAGTGTCACCCCATGAGGTGGCCGAGGAGGCCTCGTGCTCTGCTCGGCCCCATCAGTGGCTGGGACCAACACCCCATCCTCGTGGCCAGCAGCTCTTTCCTGCCCCAGCCAAGAGGTTCCCGGCCCCCCAGTGCTCCCCTGACCCTGTCCCTGCTCCTGGCCCTGCCTTTGCTGCTCCCTTGGCTGGGGGAGCGGCTGCAGGGGTGGTGGCAGCAGCTCCAGCTCCAAGGGCAGGACCCGGAACTTGGCCTGGTTGAACCCTTGGAATCAGACCATGGATCCAGCTTGTCCAGGTCCCTCTGCAGAGCCCTCCTGCCTTCCAGCACATCAACCCTCCCCAGCTTGGTGTCAGCTGCCAATTTGCTCATGAAATGCTGCTGGTTCTGCAGGAGCTGGAGATGCTCAAGGGGCAGCAGGACCAAGTCAGGGGCCTGAGGGGCTTTGGGGTCCAGAAGGGTCCTGGGGGAGATGAGGAGGGGCTTTGGGGATTAGGGGTCTCCCAGTACAACCCAGTGCCTCCCCATGCCTCCCTGTACAGCCCAGTGACCCCAGTGCTGCCCACTCTGTTCCCTTCCCAGGGTGCCAGGTGATCCCTCTTTGGGGGGTTTGGAAGGGATTTGGGGAGCTTTGGGTGTATTTGGGGGAGCTAAAAGGGATCTTGGGGCACTGGGGGGTCAAACGGATATGTGGGGAGAGGGGATTAAATGAGAAAAGGTAGTTAGGGGACATTTGCGGGGGCTTATTGGGGTCTGGGGGGGAGAGGAGGGGCAGCACCACGAGCAAGTGAGTCCTGAGATCCCCCTGGTGTCCCCAAGACCCTCTTGGTGTCCCCAGTTCCCCCCTTGACACCCCAATGTCACTGTCCCCAAACCCCATCCCTGTGATCCCCAACCCTCCATCTTCCCTCAGCAGCCCTCCTGGGACCCTCTGACCCCAAAAACACCGCCCCTCACCCCACACTCACAGAAAGGCCAAGGGCATCTGGGGACATGTTGGGGACACTTGGGGGGCTTTGGGGAGCACTGGGTGATTACTAGGGGATACTGGGACACACTGGGGGGAACTAGAGGGCATTCAGAGGGACTGGGAGGTTACTGGGGGACCATGGGAGGGACTAGGGAGTTCCTGGGGGATTGCCAGGACACATGGGAGGACACTGGGAGGTTACTGGGCCATACTGGGGTTACTGGGTGATCACTGGAGGATCACTGGGCCATACTGAGGGGCAGTGGGAGGTCCCTGGGCTATACTGGGGGCACTGGGTCCCCCTTACCCGAATGTGGTACACCGACCCCCCAGACTTGGGGGGGCACCCCCAGAACCCCTCCCCTGGGGGCTGGGGACCCCCTGAAGCGCACTGGTGGGCTTTAGGGGACCCCTGACACCCCCTCCTGTGGCGTCTCTGTGTTCGGGGTCTCTGGGGCTCGGGGGCGGATTCCGATCCCCTTTCCCTGCGGTAGGTCCGCCGGGCCGGCAGGGGGCGCTGTGGCGGGAGGGGTAATGGCGGATAGCGGTGCACCCAGGGCGGGAAGACACCCCCCACCCACCCCCGAGCAGGATCCAAGGCCCCGTGCTCTGCTCCTCAGGAGCCCCTGAGCCCCCCACCCACAGCCGCGCTCCCCGCAGCACCGAGGGAATCCCCAGAACCCCGCTCTCGATGCTCACACACCGCAGCGCAGCGTCCTCCTCCCCCGCTCCCCCGCGGCCGCCACAGCGCCCTTCCCGCGCTCCGCCTCCACAGGACCCGCCGCAGCCAATCACCAACCCCCGATCCCCACGGCCCCGCCCCGCGCGAGGCACCACGGGAGTCGTAGTCCCACACAGTCCCCTCGCCTCATGGGGGGCTGTTCGGCCACCAGAGACAAACACGGGCTGGTCCCGCAGAGCGGCCCGAGTTGTTATAGTCAAAAGACCATATATATATTTAAAATATAGTAGAAATTTATTAAAAGCAAATAAGCAAATCAGCGCGCTGGGAGACCGGAGGAAACTCCCGTTCCACCAACGGTCCTCCTGCCAAAAACGTGCAATGGTCTTTTATATGTGCCACTATTCCCTCCCCTTTAGGCGGCGCCTGGATGCCGGGCGGCAGGG